AGCATGGTAATTCAGTGGGCTGGTACCACAAAACCAGCATGGTAATTCAGTGGGCTGGTACCACAAAACCAGCATGGTAATTCAGTGGGCTGGTACCACAAAACCAGCATGGTAATTCAGTGGGCTGGTACCACAAAACCAGCATGGTAATTCAGTGGGCTGGTACCACAAAACCAGCATGGTAATTCATTCAGTGGGCTGGTACCACAAAACCAGCATGGTAATTCAGTGGGCTGGTACCACAAAACCAGCATGGTAATTCAGTGGGCTGGTACCACAAAACCAGCATGGTAATTCAGTGGGATGGTACCACAAAACCAGCATGGTAATTCAGTGGGCTGGGTACCACAAAACCAGCATGGTAATTCAGTGGGCTGGTACCACAAAACCAGCATGGTAATTCAGTGGGCTGGCACCACAAAACCAGTGGGCTGCCAGCATGGTAATTCAGTGGGCTGGTACCACAAAAGCATGGTAATTCAGCATGGTAATTCAGTGGGCTGGATGGTACCACAAAACCAGCATGTGGGCTGGTAATTCAGTGGGCTGGTACCACAAAACCAGCATGGTAATTCAGTGGGATGGTACCACAAAACAAGCATGGTAATTCAGTGGGCTGGCACCACAAAACCAGCATGGTAATTCAGTGGGCTGGCACTACGCAGCCGGCATGGTAATTCAGTGGGCTGGCACCACAAAACCTGCATGGTAATTCAGAGGGCTGGCACCACAAAACTGGCACCAGTGTTACCAGCCGGAGCTACCAACTGCACCTCCCCACCTGGCACTGAAACCAGCAAAGAAACAACACATTGAATTTTCCTTTGCATTTCATTTATTTCGTCTTCTCTAATTATTGACACATGTACATCTGTATAACAACCTTCAGATACTGAGTGGGTGAGTCTGGTATAATGCGGCTTTCAACAGTATTTCAGTTATAGCGCACTGTGTCAACTTTACATGACAGGAAAGCCTCAAGTGACGTAGTTCTTAAACATCCAGTTCTTTTGAACTGCCAAATCAAAAATCATAACCTAATTTTGGATTTGAACCTGGGTTCACAAATTTCAGCCACTCGCTGAATTACAGCCCCTCAGACACCTGGGTCACCTGCCAGATAGGTGCCAATTATTTTTTACAATAAGATCAGCATATGCCATTCTGTACCTGGTGAAGAGCTGGTTAGGATTGGCAGGGTATCTTCAGAACCCATGCTTGTGCAAAGAGGCAACTAACAGGATCAGGTGGCGGGTAACATGTCATCGTAACCCAATTGCGTAGATCAATGCTCATGATGTCACTGGATTGTCTGGTCCAGACTTGATTATATACAGACTGCATCATACAGCTGGAATATAGTGCGGCGTTAAACAACGATCAAGCAAATCCACACCTAATATTTAAACTGCACAAAGGGATGCAACTCCAGCACAGCACACTGCATAAAAGGTTCACACATCACTCACTGAATCACATTAAGGACATTAACATATACCACACAAAAGTAGATAGGGATATTCTGACCATCCTGGTGGGGGATAGATGTGACTGGTTGTTGGCTCAGAATAGGATGCAATACTGTCTGCATCTGACACACCATGTACCCTTCACTTCTTCATAAGTGTCTTCATATTTACATACCATTTCTCTTTACTACCACAACAATGAGTGAGTGAGTGAGTGAGTGAGTGAGTATGGTTTGATGCCGGTTTTAGCAATATTCCAGCAACATCACAGCAGGGGACACCAGAAATGGGCTTCACACATTGTACCCATTTGGGGAATCGAACCCATGTCTTCAGTATGATTACTTTAACCAGTAGGCTAGCCCACCACCCCTACTATAACAAGAGTGTAAGCTGGCACAGTATCTCTATCAGGAGTTGCTGTACTGTTGTTTAAAGTCATGCATTTTAATGTTCTCAGGATGCATCATCATTTCTAGAGTAAAGTGAAAACTCAACAAAGATGTACTTCTTTCCATTCACTGTCTCTATACAATCACCCACTATTCAAACTATGCAACACCTATACATATTGCAATATCCAAAGCTTCGCACACACGCTGCCATCTGTTCAGTTTTCTATGTATTACTAGAATTGAAGCTTAACACAAAACAGGTCCTTACCACATCATTTTTGTATACCTACATCTCCAAACATCAAAACAGATGTTTCCCCTGGACACCCAGGGTCTCCCTACCAAATGTTGACTAGTATATCTACTTGATAACACTGTCGACACATGAAATACAGCAAGCACAATTAATATATACTACCCCTCAAAAGTTTAGACTCACTTAAAGCACTCACTATATGTTATGTATATGTATGTGGTTACATCGAAGATGAATTTCTCCACCAACTTGGGGGAACCAACTGAAAACCTTATGCAGATGAATTGCACAAGGATGATCCTTCAAATTGCGAAAGGCATGAGCAAATGTCGTGCATGTGAACAGATGCGTTTTGGTGTAAAGTTTTGTTAAGAATTCGCCAATTTTCACAGATTTTAATCATTTACTGAACTCATGACAATAATCTTTTCAATGTTACGAATATGTTTTACAATACACCAGTTCATAACTAAACAGTACCTTTAAACAGTATGGAATATTTTGCAAAAAGCTAGTTTAGAACAGTGGACAAGTAAGTGGCTACATTTACACTAGTGAGTCTAAACTTTTGATGGGTAGTATACAATACAACACAGTTACACAGTCTACACAGTAGATCTGTAACACAAGCAACTGGGGAACAAAATTCTCCGGGATAAAATCTCTAAAATGCAGGATTCCAATAGGGGAACCTTACATGAACATGCCATGCTTCACTAAAATATTTCGGCCAAGGCCCTTCCTACAAGGTGGAGTCACAGAATATTGTTGAACACAATACCAATCACTCAAACATGTCCCACACCAACCTGTGTGGAAATCCTACATTGTCCTTCGGGAAATCTTGACTTGCTTCCAGTAGGAACATAGTATTACAGCAAGAAACCAGGATTGCTTAAAGTATTTACTTAAACAGACCGAAGACATGTTGCAGCTATCTTGAGACCTAAGTTCACTCCACAATCACAGCACTGTGAATCATAAGTCCCATTATAAAGACTCAAGACACACTGACTTAGACATAAAAGCAGTCCCCAGCCATAGCACTGTGACTGTCATGAAGTCCTTACTTCAGGAAGCAAGATACCTTGTGGAAAAGGGCCCTGGTCAGATTAGGAATTGCACAAAGCCTGGGTTTATATTTTGCACCACCAACATTGTATGACAGATAGTGTAGTGAAATACTGACCCTCACAACTCAAATTGTTGATGGTATTTGTGATGGGCGACACCATGGGGAGTATTTCTTTACAATAAAAACATGTAGCTAAAAACATAAATGCTATGTCACAAAAACACACCACGCTAAGAAATACTCATGTTTATAAAATCCATAGACAAGCTTTGATTTAACATTCAACAACAGCAACATACGATGGATTAATACTTAATGAGTGAGTTTAGTCAAGATCCCTTTACTAGTATGTTAAAGTAAATCAGGTCGTCAATGTTTACTACTCTGGTAATACCAACAGCATTGGTACCACGATACACTATTATAACGTGATCATGGATTGGAAGTCCTTAACAAAGGGAAACAACTCTTGACAGCAACAGCAGCTCTTTACACAAGTTGATCTGCTTGAGTTAGTTCAGCAACCTACCACCTCATATTGTTGAATGATAGTCAGTAACTGGAATTACTACATGTATCAAACCTTCAATACCATATTTAGTTTACTTAGTGGATCCCGGCCATGTATCATCAGACAGTCTTTGAGCCATCACTAAAGTATCAGAGTTACTATCACCAGAGCGCTCAGATCATACTGTGGACCCAAAACTAGGTACCCTCAAGCAGTCCAATAACATAACCTCCAGTTTGTGAAGAAATATGTTCACTACAAACAAAGCTCTTAAACAGTAGGCAATATTCCTTCAGGAATCTAATGAAAGTGTATACACAATAAAAATTACATTCTGGTGACATCACATCAATTTTCTGGGAACATATGGTTGTTTGTGATCATCAATTTTATGAGCCACTGCATGCAAAACACCCACATGAAAGTATTTTTGACTCTGACCTTGCTCTGACTTTGACCTTGATCAGTCAAATTAGCAACAGCTACCAAGGTCAAGATTGTAAAAGTAAAGTTAACACAGTAACTGGCAATCAATTATACCATTTAGCCATGATCTGTAAGACCGTGACGTTTGATAGACACACCAAGGATGTCAGATTGACATTGTCTATGTTGCATCCATCCTTCTGTGCTGCTGGACGGTGGCTGTTGATTCTGCAGACACTAAGTTGGAGATGTTGAGGGTAAACTGGGGTGGATGTTACCATGCCACAGTGGAACTGATGTTGAGGGTGTGATGGGGTGCATGGTGTGGGCATGTGGGGGTGCATGTTACCATGCCACAGTGGAACTGATGTTGAGGGTGTGGCATGGGGTGCATGTTACCATGCCACAGTGGAACTGATGTTGAGGGTGTGGCATGGGGTGCATGTTACCATGCCACAGTGGAACTGATGTTGAGGGTGTGGCATGGGGTGCATGTTACCATGCCACAGTGGAACTGATGTTGAGGGTGTGGCATGGGGTGCATGTTACCATGCCACAGTGGAACTGATGTTGAGGGTGTGGCATGGGGTGCATGTTACCATGCCACAGTGGAACTGATGTTGAGGGTGTGGCATGGGGTGCATGTTACCATGCCACAGTGGAACTGATGTTGAGGGTGTGGCATGGGGTGCATGTTACATGCCACAGTGGCCACATGCCACAGGAACTGATGTTGAGGGTGTGGCATGGGGTACATGTTACCATGCCACAGTGGAACTGATGTTGAGGGTGTGGAATGGGGTGGATGTTACCATGCCACAGTGGAACTGATGTTGAGGGTGTGACATGAGGTGAGCGTTGCCCTGCTTCAGTGGAACTGATGTTGAGGGTGTGGCATGGGGTACATGTTACCATGCCACAGTGGGCTGATGAGGGTGTGGAATGGGCTGGATGTTACCATGCCACAGTGAACTGTGAGGGTGGACATGAGGTGGCGCTGCCCTGCTTCAGGGAACTGATGTTGAGGATGTGGCAGTGTGGCATCTGCTGATGCTGCATCTGCCCGGACCATCTGCCCCTGTCTCTGTCGGAGGTGTTCCATCCGGATCTTCTCCAGCTCTCCGAGCCGACTCTTCACGTGCTCCATACGATGGTATGCCATCTGCAGGTCCTTCTGAGCGGAGTAGCAGGATCCCTCATGCGGCTGACCTGGCAATATTCAATATTTCTGAATGTACATTCAACCACATATTATGACAGTCAAAAATAAGATAAAGCAACATTTGTGAGGATTCTGCATAACCTGAAATATTCACCAGGCCTAACAGTGTGAACAAAAATGACTACTATCGAAATTCTACTGAAATAATTCTGTATCAAATGACTTGTTAATAACCACATCAGATATACAAGAAGTTGTTTATTAATGCTGAGACGAGTTCCAGATAGCTCTTCACTCACTTATTTACTATATTTCTTACATATACAGTTGAACCCCACTTATCCGGACATTTTGGTTACACTCAGAAATCGTCTGGATAGCGAGGCGTCCGGTTAACTGGATAAAACAAGCAAAACGTATTGCCAATGTATATTGAAAATTTATTCATGTATGTACGTGTATATCAATAAATCAAGGGAGGAAGGAAGTGTACAGTAACATTGGTCAGTGGAACGTTTGGGTGCAGTCACACGACATTTGCGTTTAGCAGGCTGACTTGCCAAATACGTTATATCAGGGATAATTTACGTCTTCTATTCTCCCTGGTTATATACAGTACAATTACAATGTCGTTAATCCTAATCCTAATTAACATGTGTCTTCATTACTGATGAGATCCCAATTAACAACTGAAGTGACACCCGTCACTAGTGTTTTGATGGGTAATTAATCAATTCACATCAAACGCCTGCCGAGAGATTAACAATGAATACACTTAGTGGTGCGGTAAACATACACATGCACATGCGCACAGATCTATCCGTCCAGATAACAGGACTATTTTTCAATAGCAATCTATGGGAATGGTTTGAAAATTCTCCGTCCGGGGTCAAGAAGCGCAGGGTCAGGCTAACCGAGTACAATTACTGAAGGTATGTTTCGTTTCACCTAAAAATCATCCGGATGGTGGGGTTTCCGGATATACGGGGTCTGGATATACGGTGTCCGAGTAAACAGGGTTCAACTGTAAATGTGAATTATTTTACCAAAACAATGCAACTACTCCAAGAAGCCTTTTCAATTTGTGTGCTTGTATTTCATTATAGGTCATGTTTTCTGCACCAACTGTCACTTGAACCAACATTTTAAGGGAAAATATTTTCAAAACTGGTTATTATCAATATACAGTATACCCTGGTTAAAATGCCACCATTTGTCCAAGAGAAAATGACTTTTGTTCCCAAAACCATTGGCAAATGGCATTATAACTAGGGTATTATATAGGCATTATATCCAGGGTGGTATTAAAACCTGGGGCATTATATCCAGGGTGCACTGTATATATACGGCTGCAACGAATACACTATGTGGCGAATATGATACGTATCATGAATATTGGGTAACGAATACCAATAATTATTCACGAATACAATATTGTAGTTAAGTGATTGATGTACAATATGGAATGCCCATGTTGACAGTTTTGATTTGTCACAGCATGCTAGAAATAACCAGTGATCTCATGACACTCAAATTTGGTATGTAATAGTTATAATCGACAGTACCATGTGCAGTCTTGGCAAACTAACATGACTTGCGCTACTCAAGACTAGTACATATTCAATTCTTGCATATCTCACTTTCCAAAAGTACACAAGGGTTCAAGTAAAACATGCTCCCTTAAAAAATCGTAAATATTCGTTAACATTCGGTTCTGGTGACCACGAATAACGAATTGAATTCATGAAGGGCTACGGTTCGATTCACCGAATATGCAAGTGAATCGTTACACCCTTAATATATACACAATAGACTAAAGAAACATTGAAAAAACATTAGTGAGTGAGTGAATTTAGACCAATATTCCAGCAATATCACAGGGGAGACACCAGAAATGGGCTTCACATATTGTACCCATGTTCAGTTCCCGGGCAGCATCAAATTGACCCTCACTCCTTTGCCTAAGCTTAGTCAAAGGATGTGCCCGGCAACTTCGGAGGCAGAACGCAACGAAATCCACTGGAATTCGGGAGTGTCACACTTCACTGACGTAATTGCTCCGTGGAGTAGAGGTCAGTAAGCGTGAATGTCGAACACCTCTGCATCGTCATACTGATTGTGCCTCAGGTCCGTAGGGTCACGCTAGGTGGCCGTATTCCGATGCCTTGGTATGGAGGCCAAGTGAAGTAGTTCTTAAACCCATATAATGAGAACAAAAGGTTGAGGTCCAGTTCAACTTTTATTCAGTATATACAAGGAAGCAGTAACCGCGAACGTGGAACCGACCCTCATCTGCGTTGTTGGGCCGATGTAAGCTGCTGAGCCAGTACAAGAGGTTCGAACTGGTGTAGTCCCTGGACATCTGTGACAGACAGGTTTCGCAGGAAATGTGAAGAGAAGACTGTATCAGAACGCCAGAAGCAACCTTCCAATGATAGCGGTCAAGGAGCAGTTGCTATGGAGGGCCATCGTCGAGGCTAGTGCACGTGTCTCTGAGGATTGGAAGCGGCTGGAGGAGGCAACCCTGCAAAGGTGTAGGCTCGCAGGATCGTGGCACGCATCAAGAAGGCCAATGTGGTCCGGGAAACCTCAGTTCTTGAAGCCGTCGACGATCCTTGGAGGCAGCAAGGCAAACGTGTAGAGCCCTAACAGGGCAGTGTCAAATCTTCATTATCATCAGGCCCAAGAACGGTGGACCGCACCTGATTGACATCAAGCACATGCAGTTCAGATACACAGTAACGAGCAGAAAAAATGCGACTTTTCAATGACGTAGTTTCAAAATTTCTTTACTGATAAATTCAGTTATATTTTCATACATCCACTCTGGATACTGAAGTTTACATTTCTGCAAGTCAATAGTCTTTTAGTCCACCGTTTCTCTCGATACACTGCTGAATACGGCGTCCCATGCTGTCAATCAAATTGTCTATGTAATCCTGGGGTAGGTCCACCCATATTTGACAGATGAGATTAGACCACTCAACGACACTCTTCGGTTCCAACTTTTCTAATTTGTCCTTCATAATCTGCCACACATTTTCAATTGGGTTCAGGTCTGGTGATGCCGCTGGAAATTTCTGTAAGGTCACGTGACTCGTTTCATTCCAGTTACAGGTGTGTCTTTACTTGTTAACAGGTGCATTGTCCTGTAAAAGTTTGGGAAGGTATTCCACTCTGTCCTATATGGGATTCCACTATGCCTCTTGTATAAGTTGACAGTACTTGCGTGAATCCATCCTTCCTGTAATAGTTAGCAGCGGCGTTGTCATCAATGTTGTCATCAATGGAACTTTCTTCGGCACTCGCTTGACATATCCAGATTGCTTTAAAGATGTTCTGATTGTCCATTCTGATACCTTAGGGGTTCCTTGACTTGACGCCTTCACAGCAAGCTGTTTTGCAGACCAGTTTGGGTACGCCGCCGCGAGACGCGCGATACGTCGTCTGTCATTTGCCCCAAGAGTAGCACGATGTCCCGATCCAGTCCCGATCTGTCCCTAACCCTGGCGTCAAATTTCAGTAAACAGAGGCCCGACGCAGTCCCGTCAGTTTCACAAGTCTAGTTACGGATGTAATACCTGCTTCATAATATGCCAAGAGTTGATTTCTGTTGTTTTGTAACGTCATGGCAAAGCTTCGGTATCGTCTGCTAGCAGCGAGGTCACGTGATCAAGCCATCCCTGAACCCAAGGGAGATAATTCCATACCAACGAGGCAAGCTACTGGCATCTAGAAACAATATATTTCGGCATTTTTGATAGTACGATCGAGTCTACAGAATAAAGTGTTTTGTCACATTTTTTCTGCTCGTTACTATATAGCAGCGGTAACCAGGAAGAATGTCGTGAATGTCACTTGTTCGAAGTCTTTGTCTTCCGTCCTTCTTTCAAAGGATTAACCGCCAATACATTGATTGATTGCTCATTATTGGCTAACTAAATTACTGTTTTTTAAGAATGGCGGACATTATTTAATTAGTTGCCAGGTGTGCTATCTTGGGTGACCAATGAGACTATACACAAATGTGAAATACCTGATAAGATATATCACATTTTCGTGTATTAGACTGTTAAAAGACACGTCACTTGGAACAGCTGCAGATGAATGGCATATCACTCGTTTTTGTGGATATTGATGGATACATTCCTCAAACAAGGTAATAGCCTGACATTGTTCTTAAAACTTTAATCTGTTTTAATTTTAATATTTGCATTTTGTTTTTATTCATTTGTCGTAGCATTCAACGTAGCATTCAACGTGTCATACAAAATCCTTTTGGTCATGATTCAAATACATATCTAACTACAAGTGGAAAGTAGTTTTGATTTTCTAACTTGATGAAAACAAACCATAATCTCATTAATTCTAACAGCTTTAGCCCGTGACTTTACGATTTTAAAAAATGGCGGCGCCCTGTCGCGAACATACGCCAGTCTGAGGATAAATGCTATTTAGGTTTGTTTTCACCGAGTTACAAAATCAAAACTACTTTCTACTGGTAGTAAAATTTGTATTTGATTGATGGCCAATAGGATTTTGCATGACAAAGCTTATAACATAACAATTTCTCTCGTGGAAGCGAGGTGGGTGTCAATATAATACTACTTACAATATTATTGTTACTTCAACCACAACCTTGCTTCCGAGGAAGAAATCGTTATGTTACAAGTTGTGTCATGGAAAATCTTTATGGTCATCAATCATATACTATTTTACTACAACTAGTAAGTAGTTTTGATTCTTTAACTTCCGTGAAGCGATCTGAACACAGGTAAGATATCATTTCAGGCTTCCACAACGCTCGCTTCGCACTCACAAACATAACTATTTAGCACAAAACGCGGGGTCCTGTGGAAATCTGTGCATGGTGACATCATCGCCTGACCCCTAGGAGCATTTGACGACAACGCAATGATTCTTCGTTGATGTCGAGAAATCATCAAAATGACGAGCTTGCTACTACGTAACCTGTCTGGAAGTGAAGCAGGCGACTTTTTTACATTTTGTCAGATCTGATAGACTCAAATCTAGTGTCAGATCGATAAACCTGTCTGGGGCTCTGCATTAAGATCGATTATAATCGCAATATTCCAGCAATTGGGCAGGGGGTCTGGTTTCATTAGTCAAATACCTACGTTAGCGAACTAACTTCCGGGATGTTGTCAGCACATGTCAATTGTTAACGCTAGCAAGTTACTTACATTTGCAGCGTCTTTGGATCATCAAGTATCCTATCGTCTTACGTTTCCGATCGTTATATGTTTTGATCGGCCATTACAATTCCCGTTTATAGCGAAAATGCGAGAAAATCCATGAGAAGCATCCCGAATGACAACAAGGCAATCCCCGCTATCGTTCTGACATCGATATGCTACGAATCAAGTTTCCATGCGTAGGCAACAGTATAAAAAACCCACAAGAGATTAATTTTAACTCAGGGATCCTTAATGCAATATCTACCTCATAATCAAATGCACAAAAATCCTAAATCTTTACTCCAAAGATGCCATTAATGTTTTGTCTGCTTAGTTGACATCCCACCTTACAAGATCACGCTACTAGTCATGTGACCTCGCTGGTAGATTTATTTTCATGGCATGCCATTTTTAAAAAATCCTTTTTGTTTATGTTGAAGGGTGAACAAAGACATTTCCTTAAGGTTGAAACACAAAATTTATTCTGGGAAGTATCATAATTTACCACTGTATCGAAAGTTCAAGAGAATTCATGAAACTGAAAATAGCTCTATTTTACCCGCCTTGCGTAAGTCACGTGTTTGTATGCAAATGCAACTCAAGGAATTCCCTGTTTCAGCCAATTAGAAAGTAGCTAACCTGTAATACCTGGGTCGTATTGTGACGTTTTGTTGCATGATTGGACGAATGAGTTTTGCACAGTTTGCTCATGAATATTAAATAATTTCTATAAACCACTTTACAACTCGTAGTATTTCAATGACTAAATAGGACACCCCAATCTAAATATATCTAGCATTGCCATTGGCTGACAGGGGAGGCATGCGCACTTGTGTACTACACAGTTTCCGTTTAAGAGGTAAACAAGCAATGACAACCAGAGTGTTCAGTATAAGAAAACATGACAAGGTAGAATAAAATGTGTTAATGTATGTGCATCCAAATAATGATTATTTCCGATTATCGATCTGCAGTTTATTTGTAATCGACAATGGTTTATTTCAATGAGTGTTCAGTGGTAGAATAATGTAATCAACAATCGTTTATTTTGATTAACCGATCCTACAATTAATCGCTCCAGCACTACCAGAAATGTAGTGAACTGAACCCGGGTCTTTGGCGTAACGTTCTCTGCATTAAGAGGCTGGCCAGTCAGAGTCAGTGTAACGTGTCTGAGTGGTGTATCTAAAGCACAATATGATGCTAAAGTGACAATAGTGGGATGGTGATGAAAGCAACATGCAACTCAAGAGAAAGCATTATCTATCCCCACAGGAGTTCCAAATTAAAGGCAGAAAATCTGGAGCCTATTTAACAAGCATTGTCACTAAGGTTACATAATCCTCCGCCGCAAATTATCAAATCAAACTTAAAAAGTAATGAAAGTGAAGGTCTTAATTTAAGATGAAGTTAAATGTCAACAAAAACATGACCAGTCAACCTCTCTTGATATCTTGCTCTGTAGTTGTTCAAACGCACAGATATTTTCAAGACTCACTTTGACCTTGACATGAATGTCTTAGTGTATTTAATATGCAAAAATAGTAATAAAGAAATTGCTTATTGAAAAACATTCAAGAGAAGTCTTGAAAGTCTATGAAGAAAATCCAGTGAACTGTTCTTGAGATATCTCGCTGACAATCTTAACATGCAGTTTAACATTCTGAAATCTTTAAAGTGTCGTCGTGACCTTGAAACTTATGTGAAGGTCACCAAAATCGACTGGAACTTGCACCTTCCCTAGATAAAGCTTGGTGTCAAATATGAAGAAAGTCCAGTGAACGGTTCTTGAGATATCTCGCTGACGAGGGTAAAACATTAAAGTCCCCTTGAAATGAAGGTCAAGGTCACCAAACCTGACGGGGACCTTTCTTTTACTGTCATGAACCTAGGTACCAAATATGAAAAGAATCCAATCCACAGTTCTTAAGATATTCCAATTCGTATGTATGTACAGACGGAGCCTATTACTATATCCCCCGCTTCGTGCTAAACGCGCAGCAGGGAATAATAAGGGTAGAAGCTGAGGGTTTAGGGGACAAGAGGCTTTACCTGTTGACACCTGCGTCAGGTAGTTTATCTGCAACTGCATGCCATTTTCTACTTCTTGTAGAGTCTTGAGGAAGGTGGTTGTATGGCTTTCTGCCTGTTTCAGACTCGGCTTGTCCTTGGACAGTTCCTGCAGGGCCTGACCTGAAACATCAAACATACTCTGTTACCATGTCAACATGTCAAACAGTCTCCATGTTACACTTTCTCCTTAGTTTATGACTTTGGTATGAGTGAGAGTAAGTTCTGATTCTGATTCTGAATTGACAGCACCTTCGAATTTCAGAGCATGTCAGTTTGATGAGGAATGACTCGTGTTTGTTGTTTAATGCCACACTCAGCTATATTTCAGCTATATGGCAGTGGTTTGTATATAATTAAGTAGAGACCAAGCAATTCAGTGATCAACATCATGAGCATTGATCCATGCAATTGGGATATGATGACCAACCAAGTCAACAAGCCTGACAGCCTGACCCCCTTAATTTCCTCTTAGGAAAAGCATGGGTTGCTGAAGACCATTTCTAACCCGGACATTCAGGGGTATGACAATGAGATTTGACAGCCAGAAGTGATCTCTTCCACTTACTGAAACTCTTGAGCATGTGTACAGTGTAAACAAACCAACAATCATACTTCACCAGAAACAAATCTGTTTTTACACTCAGCAACCTCAAACAAGAGTAGTATGAGTGAGTGAGGGAAGGAGGGAAGGAATTGGTTTTAACTCCACTTTGAACAATATTTCAATTATATCACAGTATCTGATAGTGGTGGTCTGATTAAATGAAATAATCGAAGATTGGTCGCAGTGGCCAAACGACCAAGCAATCGATCACATTCTCATAATCGAACACAAACAATTTTGGAACCGCTGTAATAGAGTCTGAAATACATAATGATGGAACACATCAAGGACGTTGTCAGGGCCTGAACACGTGTTTATTTCTAAGAAAACTCACTTCACTTTCTGAAAAGTCATGACTGAATATTTCTTGAAGAATCTAGGAAGTTAATGTTACACTGGAACTGAATCAGTTTACACTGGATGTGAAATCTGCAATGTAATTTGTGCAGTTTCTAAAAAAAACCAACAGAGAACCAAATGTTTTTTTCTTTATACTTATCTGCAACTACAACCTGAATAGGAAAATCTAAAAATAACGCTAACCAATTTTTTTTCGATGATTGGTCGTTGGTATTGAACCAATCATCAATTGTGAGATTTCAACCAATTCCCAACACTAGTATCCGAGTGTTATGCAGGTATCAAATGTTTTCCACTTAAGCAAAACTAAACATACCCATGGAAATGAATAAGGGAACACATGAAAGTACAAGTGTTCCTTTATTTATTTCCAGAATTTCATCCACAGTGCAACACATGCCTTGTGAAGAAACCTGGAAAAGAATACAGGAACATTTGTACTTTCACGTGTTCCCTGATTCATTTCCATGAGTATATTATATATGTTTTAAAACACATCTGTATAACATAAAGTTCAGTTAACATAGATCCACACAACACCTACAGGAAAGGTTTTTTGGCACAAACTATGGATATATGTTCTTATTTCAGAAGCTGGTATTTGGTAAATAAACAGTTAACATTAGTCAGAAATCCCACATTGGAAACTAACATTGTCCCAATTTAGTATCTAGAAACTGAACAATAAGTGTCTTAGTTTCGTCCAGTTTTTTCTTGTCTTGCCCTGAAAAGAGGCATTATAAATACAAAAGGTATAACAACTGTGGTTTGCCTTACTGGCTCTATATTGCATTAAATATAATCTAAAAATGAAGCTATAAAACAAATGTTATCAAAACCTGTTTTTTAAAGAACACAACCACTACTTTTGCCCCTCATACTATCTTAACACTGGCAATCACAGCCGAACCTAATCCTCAACAGATTGTAAACCATGTGGTGAAACACAGCACAGTACATAACAAGCTGAGGCTGAAGGGGGTGTTGTTGGCACGGGTACTACAGATGTGTATCCCAGGTACGTGTCTGTGTACAGAAACCTGTTAATCAACATGTTGACTTCTCTTGATAGCTATAGATATAAGACTGACTGAGTTTGGTTTTACGCTGCTTTTAGCAATATTCCAGCAACATCATGGCGGGGGGACACCAGAAATGGGCTTCACACATTGTATCCATGTGGGGATTCGAACCCGGGTCTTCGGCGTGACGAGCCAACGCTTTAACCACTAGGCTACCCCACCGCCCCTATAGATATAAGAAATGAGCATACACAGTAATGAATATTCAGCTATGTACAATACCACTCGCAATTAGCCATGTGGTCGTGCTGGTCAGGATGAAGACACACGTTTGATATGAACATGGGAACTATTTTTTATTATAGTTAGTGAACCATATTTGGTGTCAACTGTCGTACCATTTACCCGATATGGCGAACTACCCTTGTAACAAGTAGCATCTTTCAACATCTTTGAGCATGACAAAGCCCTCTTCACTTGAATAATTATTGAGACTACATCTAATTTCAAAATACTGTACTATTTTCAACATAATAAGTGACTGAACTCTGAGAACACGTACAGAGAGGGACGCTTATTGAAATTATACACAAGATAGAATTGTTTTCTGAGACCGAACTTCAATCTTCAATCAAAAGTTAAAGAAAAAAAACTTTTATAAAATAATTAACAATAATAGCAATAACTGTGTGGCAGTTTTCTGTAAAATATTTGTAATGTACACACAAAAATACATGTACACATTTAAATTGTGTCTTGTAGTGGGATTATAAAGATTACTCCTACATTGTACAGAAGATGACAGGGGCGCTCTACACTACAGAGCGAGGCGTTAATGAGTCAAAACGGTAGGTCAAAATTCGAGCACTGTTTACTGAACACCTTTTCTGTGAGCAGTGTACATATACGGTAACAAAGGCAATAAACAATATAAGACATCGATTTTTCCGTTAAGATGTCAAAGTGCAGCCTCTACCCGCGCTCTGCAATGACGAAGCAATATCTCGTTCAATCCGCTCCAACTGTACAAGCTTATCTCGGGGGCCTCCTCCCGCCATTGTTTCAAGCGCGGGTGTTTGCCCTGTAGGTGGCGCAAAATTGGGAGCAAAATACGTCATCGTCTTTTCCTTGACTGGGCTTACGTCTACACATATTTGTGAAGGGGCGTAAAGTTCAATGCATATACCAACATAAAACTAGTTAGTCACCTTCGCGGACAAAGATGTGGTATTTCCCTCACAACATATTTTAGTAAGAACAGACCGCTGTGAGCCTCTGTTGAATTACAGGTTATAAACAAATAAAAGTATCAGGTTTGAGAATATATGAAGAAGTGCTGCCAGTTATAGCGATTTTGTTAAATTTTGTTATTTTCCATGCAATTTCATTAAATATCAGCTTCATAATAACAACACACAAGGTCGTGTAGAAGTCACAAGTTCGGTATATTTCTGAGAACGATACAGATGGATGGATAAAACTGCTACCCCATAACAACAGGACTATAGGAACCACCTTTTTCATTAGAAATAACATATTTCCTCCTTCCTTCTATCTTTCTTATCACCACAGCCACATAGCTGGATTTTTGCTGAGTGCGACATAAAAAACAAAACAACTTTGCTCACCACATTTTCACCTATACTGACTATTTTCAAACAGTAAATCTAGTTAACATTAATTTTAACAGTGCACGAAAAGAAAGTCTTCCTTTAACAAGAAAAAAGAAATATCCTGACCTTAACACAGAACAATATGTCGTTCCATATTTTCAATTGCTTGATAAGACGTTTATTGAAATGATGAAACTATGATACCGGCGGGATAAGCATTTGGCAAAGAGAGATACACAAGAACGGTGAACCAGATATCCCTGTTCATATTGCTAGATACGAATTCCTTCAGTGCTGGGATTTATATTCGAGAGATATTTCCTTTCCCTGTACGCTGCGAAACAACAGCCCAAACCGAAAATAGCTAAATGTAAATAAGACCAGTTAGAATTTTTTTATTTGGATGAATTCATTGGGTACCAAAGATAGCAAGGTACTGTCGTACCCAAATACCCGGTTATCTAACATAAATAAACTTGATACGAAAGTAACTAGCTGATATCTCTGACATGTTCTTCACCTTAATTTCAATAGTTAACAGAAAAAAGAGACATATATTGTAAAACATCATTAAGTATATTTCCAAATGTTGAAATCGTTACATGACTCACAGTTTATCGCAATGGATAACCCAGTTCGGTGCCCACATAAATTGCATTTATAAACATGAATTTTGTGTGCTTTAATATTTTTTAAAGGACATAAATCGACAATTTCATGTTTCTTCAAAATAATCCAGAAAATAACAATGATAGTTGCTGTTGATGATAAAAATTGCTAATCTGGTTTTCTAAATACTCTTGCTACTGACAAAACATACACACGTATGAGGTTATTTTCACCGATGCTTAATACAATCAGGGATACATTTTAATGAAGTTATTAGCTCAGTGTCTTTCCGTACATATTAGGATTACAAATGTTACCATACGAGCCCGTTGCGAGCATATGTATTATTTTATTTTATACCTGATACTTATATGCACAATACGGAAAAACAAGACGGTGATGGTAATTACATGACATCACATTGCATGTTCATAGGATAGTGATATCAAATTAATCGATCGATAACACCATCATTCTTTTGTAAAAACATACTTTGTAAAATTGTAATGTACGCGTAAAGGTAAACGAACTTCAAGTCTGTTCCACGACGTATTCAAGCACGATATTGTTAATATGTGAAAGAAGAGTCCGTGGGTACAAATTTTCAGAAACGCACAAATGGACGTTTTTATCCTTTCATACTAAAATATGTTCCTTTCAGAACATAACGCACAATGCAGAGTATAAGCATGTCAAGATATGGCTTTGGAAATAGAAGACTGAAAATTCGTTCGTTGTGGTTCGACAGACAAACGATTGACCGGATATTATATGTCATTAGTTGTTTTGAAACACACATCAAGAACAGTAACTCTGTTCCGGAAACGCCTACGATCCATTTGCCACGTCCTCCATGTTTGCATCGATACGATAGTTTTCCAGGAGCGAATTCACACGGAATAGAGGCATTAAGATGGGGAATGTGTTCATGAAATTGTTTCAGACCTTAATGGGAAGTAAGGACATGAGAATTCTTATGGTTGGACTCGATGCTGCCGGAAAAACTACTATACTTTACAAATTGAAGTTGGGAGAAATTGTGACAACGATCCCAACCATTGGTTTCAATGTTGAAACCGTGGAGTATAAGAACATTAATTTCACGGTATGGGATGTAGGCGGTCAAGATAAGATCAGGCCGCTATGGAGACATTATTATCAAAACACCCAGGGTCTTATTTTCGTTGTGGATAGCAACGACAGGGAGCGAATTTCCGAAGCCAGGGAAGAATTGACAAGAATGCTCAACGAAGACGAACTCCGGGACGCTATACTCCTCGTGTTCAGCAACAAGCAAGATTTACCGAATGCGATGAATGCCGCAGAAATAACCGACAAGCTTGGGCTCCACAATTTGCGCAATCGCAAATGGTACATTCAGGCTACCTGTGCTACCAGTGGTGATGGCTTGTATGAAGGCCTTGACTGGTTGTCCAATACATTAAAGAGTATGAAAAAGTAAATCAAACGAATGATGCTTTGACATGGTGACGTGATTAGACATTTGTATACATGAAGAAGACCTGTGATGCAATGAGATGATCACCAATGGATCACATTAGTAATATTCTCCTACACAGTGCAAGAACAGTAAAGACAGAAATCTGGTTTCCAATTTAGCCTTGTTCTCATGACCATTTCTCATGTTTTCCTTTTGAAGTGGTGTTGTAGAAACTGGAATAATTACTCAAATTATACTATAGTATGCTCAGTTTTCACTTTAGCATGAAAGTCAACAATGTTGAGGCTTTTTGGTCATCGTGCGTGATGGATTAAAAGCCATTTTAGTGTGAAAATGCATCTGGCATTTGTAATTCCAATAGACATATTCATATGGCTCTGAACGTTCTTGTACATTGCTTGTTAACATCATGTGTGGTCTATTGTGGATATGTGGAAACTACATCTTGAATACTGTAATTATGACTACAGACTATAACATTCTCATTTGTTTGATAACATTGGTTCCAATTATCCATATTGGGTCCAGGTATTTTATCTTCAAATTGTTGCAAATATTCATTTGTTCACTCTTGAAAATTTATGGAATATAATGAGTGTTGTCTCACTAAACAAATTGTCAATTCCTTTCCTTGAGTTTTAGATGTATGTAATGTTCAAATGGATTGTGTTGTGGAACATACACTGTTGAATAATTTGTAGGCAGATTAAAACAAATCCTTAATTTTATTCTCATATGATTGTATTTCATGCTGATGTCTCTGTTGTAAAACATTAAAAATATTCCATTTCATTTTGTCAACTGTGTGCTTGTTTGTTTGGGTCATCTTATGCTGTAGTGGACAAAGGATTTCAGCAAGCTGATGTCTCAGCATATTGTAAAGATTTTGCAAATTGCAATTTTTTATCAATTGTAAATTTGACAAAACCAAGTGTGATAGCATTTAGATTTTTCTAATGTTGATTTGACACATGTGAGTGTATGGTATTAATTTGATAAGTTTATGAGTTTCAAATTACTTCTGAACCTCCATATTGAAAAAAGCCTAAGTCTTGTCTGACATGAATAGATAAAACGACTTTTGGTAGTTACAAAAGTGAGCAGTGAGGTATACTTGTCTACATTTGTAAGTTGTTTCATCAGCGGTTTAGAAGTTGGTGAGTTAATAATAAACAACACATTATATATTTGGGATTACACTTTATCAGTATAGTACAGATTTTAGTACTTTTGTTGGGTCGAGCCCCATCCGGGATTCGAAACTACACCCTCAGAGTCGGGCACCTAGAGCCAGAACATAAAGTCAGCCATCTAACCTGCTCACCCACCCCGGCTTCCACATCCCATCCATGATGGGACTCAACCCAACAAAAGTACTAGAACCTGTACTTTACTGAGAAAGGCAAATACCAAATATAACGTGTTACATTTGACCACTTTCTAAATGGCATTGTGTGTTCATAATGCTAAAGCATACAACTTTATGGATGACAACTTCAGTTTTATTGCGTATAGCGACATTTCAGTATAGATTCTTACTCCATTTTTTACTTGAAAACAGTATAAGAATCTACATCAATATGTTGCAATAAACAAGAAGTTGTTATCCATGAAGTCGTGTGCTTTATTATTCACATTTGTAAAATTCCAAAAACCTGATAAGTCGTTTTTCATTACTTTGCCATTTCTGCATATATCATTATGAAGTGATATGAAGCGGTATGTTTTAAAGATGCACGAAAGATGTCTGGCATGGTGTCTATAAAACGTGTTCACCAAATTCACCTTTACAGTGAGAACCTGGCTAGCTATTCTCGAAAAGTTCGTAGCCCTACAAACTTCTTAAGCCCATTCTTAACACATTGGCTACGATCAAAGTTAAGAATTCTTAGGGCTACGAACGTTTTGAGAATAAGACCCCTGGTGATTTTTTCTCATAGGGTGACTGATGGAGGTTCCTAGCTCACCTAACTGAAAGTCACGTGGGATTACATTTTGACTTTTTGTGTGTCATATCCTCAGAAGCCAAGTTGACCACGGAAGCCGAATTAATAACCTATTTGTAGTCTTTGCTTGGCCCTTTTTTGTTCAAAATACATGGGGCGGTGGGGTAGCCTAGTGGTTAAAGCGTTGGCTCGTCACGCCGAAGACCCGGGTTCGATTCCCCACATGGGCACAATATGTTAAGCCCATTTCTGGTGTCCCCCGCCGTGATATAGCTGGAATATTGCTAAAAGGGGCGTAAAACTTAACTCAGTCAGTCAGTCAAAATACATGAAATTAGGAACCTTTTCGTTGGTTGAGTTTTCACATTAACCACACAGCAAAGTGAATCTGCTTATGGCCATAAGTCTGTGATAAAATGTAAAATCTAGTATGTGTTGTTAGTCATGGTTTCAAGACACATTGTGATAGTTGCACTAGACCATGCTCTTAAATACTCTCAAAATGCATTTCCTGGCACTGTAAACATGTTTCCACTGGAAGCACTAGACGAAAGAAGCTTGTAACTTTTAACTATCAAACGTCTGTCCTACTGTAGGCAGCAATATTCAATCTCCAGCCTACTGCTGTAGAAAACATTTAGACATCTGTCCTAATGTAGGAAACGCTATCTGAAGTATATATGCCCAGTCAAATATCGAAGTCAAGGACTTTTGAGGTCGAATGTCTAAAGGTGGAAGTAGCATGCTTTGTTGAAGATGTCTTGGGCTGTCCTTATTGGTTTAGTTGTCATTCTTACCAGTGACAGGATCTTACGAGCATGGGTTCGTATGTCACACTGCCCCAACCTATGAAAAATACAACAAACTATGACTCATTTTGTAATGTAGTGATGTGAAACAACTTGAGTTCCAAAGGCATTTCTAGTGTCCTGCCATGATTATGCTGGAATAGTGTAACAGCAGCTTAAACCAAAAGTCACTCCAATCTGATGTCATGTATGCCTTGCTGCAGTGTGAGATAACATAGGGACTCTCATGAGAGTGTGCTCAGAAACACTTTCTTAACTTGTATTATACTGAAAATTATTACCGAGGGGCACAAATGGATACTAAGAGTTTATCACCAAATTAACACCATGGGTCCTCGCACAACAGGAATGCTCATGTTCAAAGCCGTGGCTCGATTATCTTTTAGGGCAACTATTCTCCAGGAAAAGTACCCTGTTTTCATGCTGCCTTAAAGGTCACATGCAACATAAAACACAGCATTGCAAATTCAACTTATAAAGTTGAAAAATAACGCGATGAAAAAATCCTGCGGAATCGGAGTTCAAACAATTCACTAAATTTACCCCAGCTGGGGTGAAGAGTGGTTTCAACAGCTGCGCTGCTCTGCCCTGCACTCATGGCGCATGCGCAGTGAAAATGTGTCTGCCTACCTGTCTGCTTATGACAATATGCAATACACAACTTCGATCACTGACCACATGCAATTTGAACTTAACACCTATCAGGTTATACGCCATAAACAAAACGCATTGATTTGTGGATCGTGCACTCGAGTTCTGTCTCTGTCACATTATGTAATTACACATACAGGCAGGTGTGATACTTGTACACATGACCTGTTATGGTGTCTGTTGACTGCAAAATGTTATACACAAAAATGAGCATGTATTTACAAAAACCAACATCTCTTATACACACACAAAGAGCCCTGAGTGTATCGGCAAATGAGCCAGCCAATGAAGGCTTCGTTACACTTGAGTGCACGCCAACCAGCTCTGACTGGGTTCGGTTTCCCGGCTGCTTTGTTTCGAGGGAAGTAAACCCAAGTACAAAATATTGCACTTTTGACTTGCGATTGTATGCTTATAAATTTGCTTTTTCATAATCAGCAATGTTCATTATATGTCATGAATAAGTGATAATTGTGTTTTAATTATGTTTGGTTTTTTTGGTTGCATGTGACCTTTAAATCCGTGAACTGTATCAAGTGTAGAAATTGTGTGGAATGATAGACATTCATAATATTTGAGTTTACCAGCAAAGGGTTTTTTTAAGTCAATTTGCTGAGATTGCTGACTGACTTGTTCCTTGTCACCCTTACCTTGTGTTGGGGATTTTATTTGCTTCATGATTTCATCATCACAACAAATCAACCCTCGAAATTAACATAATTTATCAGTTAGTTTTACTTTTGCTGTATTTTCAAAATTAAGTTCACTGAAACTAGATCTCCCATAAAAAACACATAAATACTAACTTCACCACTTTATTTATCTAAAATGACAGTGGCCTCACTTGCTCTCATTTTTCTTCAAATACCAAGCAGTGAATAAACCTCTGGAAATGAAAGCATCTCATGACTTGAGAGCTGGGCCTGAACTGCGTGTTGCCAGTGAATGGTGCTGGCGCTGTCATATTGCAGGATGTAATGATAGTCAAACTAGATAACTTGGTGTGTCAGATCCCCCTTAAGATTCTACCATACCTGTCCTCTGATGGAACTGAATCTTCACTGGGCCATTATTTAAATGAAAACTGCATTACACAAATTAAAATTCCTGCATGAAAGCTTTTGTTTTATCAAACATGACTGATGGGCAGTTCAAAGAATAATTTCATTCAATATACATGGCAAATTACCATTGTTGTCTTCAAGTGAGTTGTTTGCTTCCGGCAATGATTTCCTCCTCAGCCTTGTTACTGAGCTGTTTACCATGTCCTTGTATCTGAGGTAATGTTATATCCAGTAGTCAGCTGTTTCCTGTCTATATATCCTTCCTTAAGACTTGACACTTGCATCTACATAGTTAAGTTCCATGGGGGCAGATCCTGAGTAAGTGGCTGTCTGGCTTGCTGAGGATGGGTGGGTGGGTGGGTGGGTGGGTGGGTGAGTGGCTTGCTGGGAGGCAGGGTTGGGTGAGTAGAGGGGTGGGTGAGTGAGTGGCTTACTGAGTGACTGTTGGGTGAGTAGATGGGTGGGTCAGTGAGTGGCTCACTGGATTACTGAGTGACTGTTGGGTGAGTAGATGGGTGGGTGAGTGAGTGGTTTGCTGGAGACTAGGTTGGGTGAGTAGATGGGTGGGTCAGTGAGTGGCTTACTGAGTGACTGTTGGGTGAGTAGATGGGTGGGTGAGTGAGTGGTTTGCTGGAGACTAGGTTGGGTGAGTAGATGGGTGGGTCAGTGAGTGGCTCACTGGCTTACTGAGTGACTGTTGGGTGAGTAGATGGGTGGGTCAGTGAGTGGCTCACTGGCTTACTGAGTGACTGTTGGGTGAGTAGATGGGTGGGTCAGTGAGTGGCTTGCTGGAGACTAGGTTGGGTGAGTAGATGGGTGGGTCAGTGAGTGGCTCACTGGCTTACTGAGTGACTGTTTGGTGAGTAGATGGGGGGGTGAGTGAGTGGCTCATTGGCTTACTGAGTGACTGTTGGGTGTGTAGATGGATGGGTCAGTGAGTGGCTCACTGGCTTACTGAGTGACTGTTGGGTGAGTGAGTGGTTTGCTGGAGACTAGGTTGGGTGAGTAGATGGTGGGTAAGTGAGTGGCTCACTGGCTTACTGAGTGACTGTTGGGTGAGTAGATGGGTGGGTGAGTGAGTGGTTTGCTGGAGACTAGGTTGGGTGAGTAGATGGGTGGGTGAGTGAGTGGCTCACTGGCTTACTGAGTGACTGTTGGGTGAGTAGATGGGTGGGTGAGTGAGTGGTTTGCTGGAGACTAGGTTGGGTGAGTAGATGGGTGGGTCAGTGAGTGGCTCACTGGCTTACTGAGTGACTGTTGGGTGGGTAGATGGGTGGGTCAGTGAGTTGCTCACTGGCTTACTGAGTGACTGTTGGGTGAGTAGATGGGTGGGTCAGTGAGTGGCTCACTGGCTTACTGAGTGACTGTTGGGTTAGTAGATGGGTGGGTGAGTGACTGACTGTCTGGCTTGCTGGGAGGCAGGTTTGGGTGTGAGTGGCTTGCTGGGGACTAGATTGGGTGAGTAGATGGATGGGTGAGTGAGTGGCTGTTTGGTTTGCTGTGAGGATTGGTGGGTGAGGCAGTGAATGCAAGAATTTCTTTTTTTTTTTGTGGAGGAGAGTTTTGATATTTTTCATTAATCATTCATTTTATTGGTCTTTTTCATGGTACAATTCATTTTTTGTGAAATCCCAGCTCTAGACCACCAGAATTTCAAATAGTTGGTCCCATACATGTTGACTGTGCAATCAGCCAAGTCAAGTGACTCAAATATTATGTCCACACCCCTTTGAATCAGGTGATCAGTGTTTCTGGTTACTGTCCCAACCATCAATAGTTTGAAAGAGTTACTTCCCCTCCCTATCAGTTGCCTTGTACTTAAGAGCTACTTTTAGCAATTGTAGGTGTTTATCCAAGAAGTGGGTGTGAAAATAAGTACAGTCAGCTCTCGTTAATCCGACACTTGTGGTTGCACAGAAATATGTCGGATTAACGGAAATGTCGGATTAATGAAAATGTCGGATTAATGTATTTGTGTGAAAATATCAATGTTTACTAAATGTCATGATCGTCATACTGTTGCATGTACTGCACAAGGAAACAAAGCGAGTATACAATACTGTGAATGAGTCTTTTTATAGGGCTAAGTTTTTACATACTTTTGCATTTTCCAAAATCTGGAAAGGTATGTAGTACTGTCATGACGCCATAGGGAGACGATAGTGAGTGAATGTTGTTTGCTGCCACATACTACTCAACGTTTGATAAGGATACAAACTGATCATAACTAATTAGTACTGGTAATAAGTGGAATGAATCAAGAAAGAATATATACATAAAAGCCTGAGCTGTATCTATAGCACTGGCCATTATATAACAGTCTGGATCAAGCAAACCAGTGATTGAAATGATGAGCACCCATCCACCGCATCAGGATGACTTACAGCCTGAGTTGGACCTGACAAACCACTTGTTAATGTTCGATCAACAACGTTGCTAATGGGTGACAGTGCATTGTTCTAATCAAAGGATATCTTGAAAAATGTACTGGATCAAGGAGTAGAATTCAACACCCATGGTTTATTCATGATGCAGAAGAATACTTCATTTGACACATATCTTTTTCACAGTTTTCCGGGAAGATATAAGTTGATTCCTACTAATGTGCACAAACAAAGCCAACACTCAATTCTGGACACATTTCTTCCCTGAATGAAATCTTTTAAGGCAAAAAGTAAGTTTCCATATTACCGGGTAATGTAAATATACATGTCTTACAATTTGTTATAATTTATCATAAATAGTTTACAATTAATGTGATACATAAAGACAACATGTCACCTGGAAACCATCTGAGTGATGTATATTATTCAGAACAAGTTAGATAACACCACACATGGAAGGTTGAATCTGTTAAGGTTAACTCAATGCTGAAGTTAAAGTGTTTTTCAGAAATATGCCAGATCCACCCCTGAACACTTTTACCTTTCATGTCCCTAAGAAGTTACAGGAGACAAGTCTTTTCACATACCCATACATGTAGGCTACTGCAAACAACAGCCTTCTAACTTTGCTTAACTTATATGGAGTAGTATACATTACTCATATAGGTAATGGTCATGGATATTAAAAAACCTTCACCCTCAGAAATATTTCAGCTGTATGATGGAGGTAACATCTAGTCTCTAAAATAAACATTTACAGAAAAAACAGTTTCTAAGTCATATTCATAAAATAAAAGGAGCCCCGAGAATGTCTTCATTTTCAGAAACTCTGGTGACATAGACTTGCCATACATTCTAGACTTGCATGGGCTGCATTGGGTATACCTGTTACAGACAAGACAGAGGGCTGTAAATAATCTATTCTTGAAATGACAATTCAGTGACTGACACCAAAGCTTCCATCTAAACAATTTGGTTACGATGACATTCATTAGCCAAGTCAGCGAGTCAAATCTCCAGATAACAAGCATAAGCTGCTGAAAACCAATTCAACCCTGATCTTCACAGATTGTCTCAGTATTAGGTGACTCGGCCAATGAAGACTGTCTAACCTTGCCTGTTTACAGACACAGTGGTAACATTATGTGTAGCATCTCATTCTCAACTACCCTTAATCGAGTCATCCAACACACATCACCCTTTGTGGCCACTGAACAACAAAAACAATAACAACAACAAAAACAATAAAAACAACAATAACTATAAAACAACAACAATAACAATAATAAAAACAACAATAACAATAAAAACAACAACAATAACAACAATCCACTAGTAAGCTCCAAGCAATATATGTTTGTAGAGCAGCATTATTACCCTGTCAATGGATCAGGGTGGCAGTCCTTGGTCTCCTCAATCTCAACTCCCTTGGGAGTATGCAACCCAAGCTGTCTGTGAGGTGCTAGGTTAACAGTCACATTACCAGGTACCATTCACTGCTGGATGAAAAGAGGTATATTTCACTGAAAGTTGCTTGCCTGTCCAGGTGTGGGGGCTATTTAGTAGTCTGTCATACAGACCCTGAAACAAACAGATACAGCCCATGCAAGTCTAGATTACCTCTCTGAAAATGAAGAAAGCCTTTGGGCTCTTTTTATATAATTATATTTCATGAGCATAATTTAGGAACTGTTTTTTTCTGTAAACTTGACCTGATTATTTAAGAGACTAAATGTTAGTCTTGCCTATTGGCATATCCCTGCAATATCACGGCAGGGAACACCAGAAATGAGCTTCACACATTGTACCCATTTGGGAGTGAGTAAGTGAGTATGGTTTTATGCCGCTTTTAGCAATATTCCAGCAATATCACGACAGGAACACCAGAAATGAGCTTCACACATTGTACCCATGTGCGAGTGAGTGAGTATGGTTTTATGCCGCTTTTAGCAATATTCCTGCAATATCACGGCGAGGAACACCAGAAATGGGCTTCAAACACTCCAGCCAGTCACTCTGTCCTGGAGACACCACAAGTATACAGATGCTTCCATGTGGGGCAGTGAAAAAGCCTGAGATCTCCTCAGGATTCAATCTGATGAACATATTAACCATTCAAGGATTCTCTGTGACCAACTCAACTTGGCCTGATTAGTGCCTACAGTGCTGTACATTGGGCCACGTGCTACCATATCTGCACGCATCTGAGTGTGGTGTTCAACCAAGTGGACAGTGACAGCTGCAACAGTGGTAACCTGCATACTCATCTGAGTCAATATTTCAGCTTGTTGGTCTATACTCCCCTTCACCAAGATATAATACATGGCTGGTCTGTCTCAGTGTCCCTGAACCACATGATATTAACTTTACACCTGTCTGTAAGGCATCCCTAAATGAAGCATGTCTACATTTGCCTCATATTGTGAATCTCACATCTCTGAGGGGCCCCCCTTCTCAGTTTAGAGTTATTTGTCTCGATAAAATTAATACATTTTCAGAGACAAACAGCTACTGTATTCAGTACCACAGGGACACTTTATGATAACATAGTGAATAACTACAGAGTATTCCAGAGTATACCCAGCAACCCATGTTTGTCATACAAGTGACATATGGTCATTTGGATGCAGTAGTCTGGACCTAGATTTCGAAGGTCTCCTAGTGTTAAGATGGTCGTAAGTGCCATACATTAACATTAACTCACGACTATTTTAGCTCAACGAGAGCTTCGGAAATCTTGGCCCTGGATCTGTGACTTAAAGCATGCCACCATAAATAATAACAGATAGATCTCTGATCCAGACCTATTCTTTATATGCTGCATTTAAACAACTATGCATTGTTGCTAAGTGTGGGATAAACAGTGAACAAAACGTAACCTTCAGTGTCTGTGCCACCATTTTCTATGCAATGACGTTATGGAGAAATAAAGATATGCTGATGTTTCCTCTGTCACTAAGTATCAACCACCAAGGTTATAATATAATGTCTTTCTTAGTGTCTTATTCCACACTGTAGGCATGAGACTTGTAACATTTGTTGGCTTCATGAAAGTGAATTTTATTACACCAATGTGACAACTACACGATAGTTCCTGTCAATATCTGTATTATCAACCTAATAGGCCATGAGGATTCGAACTCAGTTGTGAGATTCGTCATTTCGGAAGTGTTCAGCGATGGATAGTTTCGTATTTTAATCCAAAGAAAAGTGCACAAACATTATGAATAATTATAAATCAATCGATTCTTGAACTATTTTTGTATTTTCATTTTTTTTCTACATTGTAACAATATTGAGATTGAATACGAAGGTAACTGTAAATACGAAGAGGTCTAGCTTTACTTAATTTGCAGTATGGCGGGATCTCGAAAGGGAAAGTTATGCTTGGATATCTAATTGTGTTTACATACAGTTGTTGTGATATTTGTTAAGTTTTATACAACACAACCATGAGTACGAGACACAGCAGTGAACTTAATTCCCCGTCGGCTATGCTGCAGCGGCTGTGTTGTAAAGTTACGGGACTGTCAGACGGTAGGTTGACATGCAGAATCTTGCTTGACTGTTTTGACATATTTTCACATGTGATCAGTCTGATCTGGATATCGTCATTTCGAACAGTTACATGCAACTGACAATATCCTCTTTGTTTTATGTGCAGTTGCATAAAATGGTCACCCGAATGCAAAATTAGTGATACTTCGATTGACTGAGCATGTCATAGCAGTAAACAATGCTGTTGCATTCCCTCAAATGCGAGTCAAAATTGGTCACAATAATCAGTTGAACACGTACATGTAAAGAACATATTATGAAAAAGTTTTTTTAATGAGCAGTTTACTCAAAATACCCGGATTAGAATACGGTTACAATTGGTCTTCAGCAAACCATGCTTGTCATTTAAGAGGTGAATAACAGGATTGGTTGACACATGTAATCGTATCCCAATTTTGTAGATTGATGCTCATGTTGTTAATCACTGGATTTTCTGGTCCAGACTCATTTAACTACAGACCGCTGCCATATAGCTGGAATATCGCAGAGTACAGCGTTGAAGTACAAACAAACAACAAAGTTTACATAATGCCTGTATTCAACTTCTTAGCCCCGGTATGTGTAATATGTGTTTCTATAGTTCCTTAAAATCGTTAATTAGTCCTTGAAAAGGCCTTAAATTTATTGGCTGATGATCTGGACAAACCCTGGTGACTATCAACAGTAATCTATGAAAGTAGTTCAGTACCTGTTCACCAATCTCTATAGTCACTTCTGAGTGATTGGCCATTAAATCGATATCGAACGACACATAAGCACCACAGGTTCATTGACAACTGGGGTGGTGGGGTAGCCTAGTGGTTAAAGTGTTCGCTGATCATGCCGAAGACCCAGGTTTGAATCCTCCTCATGGGTACAATGTGTGAAGCCCATGATATTGCTGGAATATTGCTAAAAATGGCAAAAACTAAACTCACTTGTCACTTAATTGTCACAGACATTTTTGATGTACTGTACTTGAAAGGATATGTATTATGATGAACTGTAATGACGATTGACTCAGTGACTGAAAAATAGTTATTGATAGACATTTCTCCTATCAAAATACATTTGGCCCACACTCTATGAAGATTCATATTCAAGTGAAATTTTGCACAATGTGAAAGTCAGTTCTAAATAGAGCTGTGACGATATATAGTAGTATCGATAATCGTGATACTTTTTCTGACAATAGATATATAGATATTTTTTTTCGTACCGTGATATGTATCGTTAACCATAAAATTGTGAATTTTCAATAGAAATTGACGGTTATGGCAAAATTTACACTGTTTCTTGTTATCAAAATACACTTTTTTAAAGAACATAACTAAAGATAGCATATCGTGATATGCATCGTATCAAATCGTATCGTTCCATGATATCGTGAAATCGTGTGAAATATCGTATCCATGATATCATGCTGACATGTATAATATGATTTAGTATGCATCGTGAAATTTCTGTATCGTAGCTGAACACCTCTAGTTCTAAATATACTCATGTCTGACATGTATAAATCAGGGCTCGATTTAGGTTTTTATCTTAGGTTGCACCTGGTGCAAGTAGGTTAACATCTCTTAAATCGAGCCCTGATAAATGTATTTGCAAACACTGATATTAAACATGTTTGGGACACATTTTAAAAGTGGGTCCTACTCCAATGAACTTACATAAACTGAAAGGGGTGGTGGGGTAGCCTAGTGGTTAAAGTGCTTGCTCACCACGCTGAAGACCCGGATTCGATTCCCCACATGGGTACAGTGTGTGAAACCCGTTTCTGGTGTCCCCCAGCGCGATATTGCTGGAATATTGCTGAAGTGACGTAAAACCATGCTCACTCTCTCACTCACTCACATTAAACTGAAAGTCAAGTTTGTGTTTGTTGTGAACATTGGCCATGTACTGTAAATCATGAAATTAATGCAAGCATGAAATTCATGAGGAAAATATGAGTTGCCCTAGATTGCATTACTAAAAGGACACATTTTTATGTGCTCTTGTTGGTAGCTATGGTAATGCCAGGTTCATGGTGCATGAAACAATGACCTCTATATGACAAAGCTCACAATAATCACTGTAACTGAGCTTTAGATTTAAACCATGCATCACACTCAGCTCAGTATCAAGTTGTGTACATAAGATGGTTAAGCGCTACAGCTGGGAAAGCCACTAGTATTGTATGATAGACTTTGCTCTTGTTTGCTTGTAAAAAATCTTACAAGTCATTGATGTATCCAGGATTGTAAACGAAATGTACCTGGCATAATTTTTATTCCTAATATATGATATTAATGATACAGAAACACACTGCAGTTTTACGAGTCAGGAAACTACATTGGTTTTTAACGTCTTAATGCAACAAACATATCAAGAAGAAGCATACTGTCTAAAGTTTAATTTGATGTTTCATTATTTATGATTATATATTAGTCCCCCTAGCTCATCGATAATCTCTGACGCAAGCAAGATCGTTTGATTGACCAATATTTGATCACTAATAGTTATAAGACATGCATTTTTTTTATTCCAATTAGGGAATTTTAATTATGCTTGGTACAGACATGGAGCTAAACATTGGCCTTTGATCAGATCTAGATAAATCTGTAATTACAAGCAAAGCCATTTCATCAAAAACACTGAACATGTCCTGTAGAGTAACAACAGTTGTCATGAATACAAAACTGTATCTCTGTTTCCTATCATTATTTCCATAAGTGGCTTCCAATCAATCCTATCATGTATATCCTATCCTTTTCATTGTATAAACAGTCTGTACTTCTATTGAATAAACATACCACTTAATCTCTTTGAACTCTTTACATCTCAGTCTGGCCTCCTGTACATACCATATTCTGTCATTCACCTGATGAAAGGGCAAGAAGTAGCCCAGAAACATTGTGCTGTAAATATTAAAGAAGTTGTCAATCCATACCATACATTGTTATTCACATGTATCTCTGCTGTCATATGATATGTCAGTGGTAGTGTAAAAGAATTTTTTTTATTTTCTTTTTTCCTTCATTTTTTTTTAAAACATATTTATTTCCAATGAAAAGAACCAGATTGGTAAAGAAGCATAAGCTTATATGAATACTGCAGAAGAATTTTATGATTTTCTTTTTCCTTCATTTTTTATTTAAACATATTTATTTCCAATGAAAGGAACCGGATTGGTAAACAAGCATAAGCTTATATGAATACTGCTCTGGGATACAGTGGAAGAGTAAACATGTCATGATGAATGTACAATGTGAATGATATATAAATGTTGCAAATACGAGAAATAATGCCAATCATTGTTAAACAGTACATGTCATATAAACAAATTATTTTGGATTCATTTTTACCAGTAATGCAGAACTGTCTTAACACATGAGCACAATGGGTAGTTGCCAGTAGGCCCACGATCTTAGGGAACCCATGCTAATCTCATAGGTTGTGACTTAATGTCAAGATCTACCTAATGCACTGCTTTGCAAGGGGTCTGAGATGCTGTTAAGACGTCCATACTGTGATGGATATTAAAGTTAAGGCATTTTTGTAACTTTTCTAAAATCTCAACTACTGTACTTCATGTTTGGTAAGAATATAGCAATCTGTGCTTGCCTTAAGAGACAACTACAAGGTTCAGATGGTGAGATTCTGTGACGGAGAACACTGGATGTCATTGTATGTATGCAAATCAGTGCTCATGACATCAATCAGAGGATTGCCCTGGGAAAGATTCAGTTATTTACAGACCCCATTATGTAGTGGAGTACTCCAGTGTGAAGCATTATGTAGGTGGAGTACTCCAGTGTGAAGCATTATGTAGGTGGAATACTCCAGTGTGAAGTGTGAAGAAGCATTATGTAGGTGGAGTACTCCAGTGTCAAGCATTATGTAGGTGGAGTACTCCAGTGTGAAGCATTATGTAGGTGGAGTACTCCAGTGTGAAGCATTATGTAGGTGGAGTACTCCAGTGTGAAGCATTATGTAGGTGGAGTACTCCAGTGTGAAGCATTATGTAGGTGGAGTACTCCAGTGTGAAGCATTATGTAGGTGGAGTACTCCAGTGTCAAGCATTATGTAGGTGGAGTACTCCAGTGTCAAGCATTATGTAGGTGGAATACTCCAGTGTGAAGCATTATGTAGGTGGAGTACTACAGTGTGAAGCATTATGTAGGTGGAGTACTCCAGTGTGAAGCATTATGTAGGTGGAGTACTCCAGTGTGAAGCATTATGTAGGTGGAATACTCCAGTGTGAAGCATTATGTAGGTGGAGTACTCCAGTGTGAAGCATTATGTAGGTGGAGTACTCCAGAGTGAAGCATTATGTAGGTGGAGTACTACAGTGTGAAGCATTATGTAGGTGGAATACTCCAGTGTGAAGCATTATGTAGGTGGAGTACTCCAGTGTGAAGCATTATGTAGGTGGAGTACTCCAGTGTCAAGCATTATGAAGGTGGAATACTCCAGTGTCAAGCATTATGTAGGTGGAGTACTCCAGTGTGAAGCATTATGTAGGTGGAGTACTCCAGTGTGAAGCATTATGTAGGTGGAGTACTCCAGTGTGAAGCATTATGTAGGTGGAGTACTCCAGTGTCAAGCATTATGTAGGTGGAGTACTCCAGTGTCAAGCATTATGTAGGTGGAGTAGGTGGAGTCCAGTGTCAAGCATTATGTAGGTGGAATACTCCAGTGTCAAGCATTATGTAGGTGGAATACTCCAGTGTGAAGCATTATGTAGGTGGAGTACTCCAGTGTCAAGCATTATGTAGGTGGAGTACTCCAGTGTCAAGCATTATGTAAGAAACTGTAACTGTTCTGTTTTTTTACTTCACAGATGCAGTACTTCCTCATTACCAGTTTGCTCTGCGTATACTCGGCAGGTAACATACTTCAATGATTGATAATGTAAAGGGTCAATGGTTCCTCTTCATGGTTGCCATGGTGAATACTAGAGCTGTGACGATTCACTTGCATATTTGGTGAATTGAACTAAATCCCTTCATGAATTCAGTTTGTTGTTTGTGATCACTAGAATAGCATATTCATGATATATATTTCCAAGCCAGGCAGGATAATAATCAACACTCTATGTATTTAATTTGACACTGGTCATTGCCGTGATAAATTAGCATGTCAGCATGGTCAAAGCGTCAATTTATTTTGTATTATATTCAGTGAATGTATTAAACAATGCAACTGCTGACTTCTTGTATTTGTTGCGCAGTATTCATAATCGTAACCCAATAGTCGGATATGTATCATATTCTGACTCATACTGGATTCCTACTGAATATTTACAACTAACATTAAGTCACTTGAGTACACATTATTTCATTGTAAGCAGTGACCTAAAGATTATTATGTATGTTATTTAGGTTTGTGCTGCAAACAAAGGTCGAACATATCATTATGTCGGGAGACATATTGTTTTTGGTTGAGTTTCCATCGGTGTCAACATTCCCATTGTTTCTGGAACATAACTCTAAACCTACTTGAACAATCTTCACCAGATTTGGTATACTGCCTCTCCATATCATCTAGATGTGCCTTTTGGTAGTTTGAGGGTTTTTTTCAATTATATTTTTTTCTGTTTCCATGGCAACAATTTGGACTTGGTCTTTTTTGAAGGGTAAAGTTTGTTTCCGGAGGCAAAATTCTGAAACTATTTCACTTATCTTCACCAAATTTGGTATACTGCCTCTCCATATCATGTAGATGTGCGTTTTGGGGGTTTGAACTTTTCTGTCAATTTTATTTTTTTCTGTTTCAATGGCAACAAATTTGGACTTGGTCTTTTTGAAGGGTAGGGTTTGTGTTCGGAGCTTCACCCATCTTCACCGAATTTTGTATACTTAATACCAATACCAATTATTAGTAAGCTTAGAATCATCAACCATATACATGTACTACTATAAAACATGTATAATAAGTATTGCGTACTTAGAGATTTTGAAATTGAAGGAATCAAATGAATTGTTTGAGGTCTCAACGTTGAATTGGGGGAAGGGGGAGACATCTATTTTTACTAGTAAAAACACTTTCTGGTTGTTTACTGAGTTTTTGCTAATAAATTTGCCATTTGATTTGAAAATGAAAACAATTTGACGTAATCAAGTGTGGGTGGTGAGTGGTGGGTGGTGGGCAGTACACCATGTGCAGTGTGAAAATGTACCAAGTCAGTTTGAAGTACTGAATGTTTAGAATTGCCAAAACATTAATTGTCTGTGTTGCATGTTTGCAGTTTCAAATTCTTCCTGTACATTTGATAAGTTAGAATTCTAATAGTTTTCAGTTGTCTTTTCTTATATGTTAGTAGTTGCCTTGTTATATGTTCTTATCCATCAGAAATAGATATGGCACCATATTCATAAATGTCCAGGTTAGATACCATTAGTCATATCTTCGAGATGCCAGACTTTCTGAAAAGTTGAAGTGAAACACTTTCACTGTATTTCTATGTGTATATTTTTAATTGTGGCTTTTGCTTTTCTCCAAAGCATATAAAATGAAGTGTGTCCCCAAAATCTGACCTTTGCTTTGCTCTTTTTTTTCAGCAATTTTGCACCTCCCATTGAGAGTGATGAATTTCAGGTTTCTGAGAAAATCAAGAGCCAATGTACGTAAATAAATGTTTCTTGTGTTGATGCCATGTGGGGATTGGCAATTGGATTGCAGATTAAAACCACTCCGCTCTTTAAACAAACAAATATATTTTTCAAGGAATGTATTCTAGTATATTATCATTTTATCAATTTTATTATCATATGATTAATAATCAAATTTTGTCATTCAAATGAGTATTCATTAACTGAGTGCCATTGATTGAGTTGGTACTAACATGTGTTCTTGATAAAACACCCATTTGGATGTAGATGGCATGATGCTCAAAAGTGGAAGCACATGAAAAATATCCATGATATAATAATTTATTTCTGTCCTTTTATTTATTAACAGCATAAACTGTGTATTCATTTTCTGCATACAGAAATCAGCCCCCTACTGTCTCAGTGCTTTGTTCCCTTGTGTGAAGACTTTAAGAGCCTTGATACTGCTTGACAGATGAGAAAGTTCGCCTGACACAGTCCCCTGTAAAGGTGTCCCCAGATGCTTGTAGTGAAATTGTTGCTGATACCGTTTCTCATGTTTTGTACGTTTAGTGGTTCGTAAGGGTCGAGAAAAAGATGCAGCGATCTTCTCTGAACTACATCGGAAGCTTCAAGCACAAGTAAGATATTTGTTTTGCTGCTAGGTTTATCTTTAGTTTCCAAGGAGATACAATTCTGTGAAATTATGTAGTAATGGCATAGCAAGTTTTGGCTTTCCTATCTACAATGATGTTTTTCATGATTAATCGCTACCTAATGTAAGCAAACTCCAAAATGAAGTTAAAAAAATGTAAAAGAATCTCATGAGGCTCAAGTGAAGCCAGACTTTTTAAATAAAAGCCATATTACAAATGTCATGAACTTGTCATGAATGTAATGATGCGATACATACTTACAAATCTGATTTGGTCACTGGTCACCAAATAAGGGACAGATGGTATGTTTGTTGATGGTGATATATACTTCCCTTGTTGTCTTCAGAGTGGCCTGAAGAACCGGTGGGCGATACTGTATCTGCTGATGTCTCTCAGTGACAATGGAGCAAAGTCAGGGAACAAGGTGAGCTTCGTCTGTTGATACCGTATGTAGTGTTGTCTCTCCGATAACAGACGTAACAGAGAATGTGTGCTGCTGCTCATGATAATCATCACTGGATTATCTGTCCAGATTCCATTACATACAGGTGGATGTCATATACAGTGGAAACCGCCTCAGTAAAGACCGGTTAACTAAACAGACCTGATAAGTAAACACTATTCTTTGGTCCCGGCAAATTTCTTCATTAATTATCACTATTAGAGTTCGGTTAACTAAACTCGGATAAGTAAACAATACCGCTTAACTAAACGTCTTCTCACGGTCCCTGGAAGTAAATTACTTAACAAAAGAGACCGGATAACTAAATTAGTGATTACCACATAATCCGACATGAGGGTCATGTGTCAGTCTCCAGTCAAACAAACATCCTAATTACAGCTCGCTGGCGTCATGACAGTTGACAATACACTGACAACTGGAGGCCAGCCCTGATAAGTTGTACATTGTTACATATGCATACATATACATGCATATGGTTGTCATTTGCAGGTTTTTATAAGTTTGGATAAGTAAAATACCTGATAAGTAAACAATTTTGGCTAGTCCCTTGAAATTTTACTTAACAGGTTTCCACTGTAGCTGGAATATTGTGAAGTGCTGCATTAAAACAACAAAGTAAACAAAAAGAGATACATATGCATCAACATCCACCTTTCTGTTTTAGTTACTGACGTTATTGAGTCAGGCGGAATTATTCTTTCAGAGTGCCTTCAGTAGCTCGGTGTTCGGACAGAATCTCTCAACCTATGCCACCTCCACCCCCTTCCACCCTGCAGCGAGGGTGGGGCGTGATGCTCCCAGGGTGGGGCAGCACACCCCAGGGATGGGTGTGTCAGGTGTCCACTCCACGTCTCACAGCACAGCCAGCAGCGGCATCAGCAGCATTCACAGTGGTCGCAGCGAAGGGCCAACACCGGTTCCTCAGACCTATATACCAAGGTATGCCTTAACACTACGGAGGTGCCGTGAGGTCTGATGGTCTATGGGTAGAGGTGGTACCCAGTATCTCATTTGACTGAAAACTTTAAGTGAGTTTGGTTTTACGCCGCTTTTAGCAATATTCCAGCAATATCACGGCGGGGGACACCAGAAATGGGCTTAACACATTGTACCCATGTGGGGAATCGAACCCGGGTCTTTGGCGTGACAAGCCAACGCCTTAACCACTGGGCTACCCACCGTTACAATTAGTTGATCAATGTGTGACTTGGTTAATTGGTTGGTCAAAATATGTGACATTGTTGATGTGTTTTTTTTACAATATGTGAATAGGTTAATTGGTTGGTCAGAATATGTGACATTGTTGATGGCTGGTCAGAATATGTGACTTGGTTCATTGGTTGGCCACCAGGTGGAGTGACTTATCGGATGGTTGTCAGTGTTGCCTGATTCTTGGCTTTCAGTGAGTGGTTTGCTGCAATATTACTGACATGTAACAACACTCACAAATTGTACACTTATAAAGGTCATGATGGATTGAGTGGTCAAAGGTGCTAGATAGCTGTGCAGAGTTGTGTCTCTTTGGTGTTCCAGGATCTACTGTCAGATTCTCCCACATGTTGATGCTTGTTTCTTCAGCTTAATACATTGTGCTTGAACTTTTTACCAAATTTGATTAAGGGTGGTTTTGCCTGAGGCTTACTTCCAACTTGAGCACAACTTCAACAATCTGACTGCATGAAATATCTTAGATAAACATTTTTAAAGCATTGTTGCACGTTCAGACCTTGTGTATTTAAACAGTCCTGGAGTATTTCATATTGATGTCTTCTGCAGCTTAGTTTCTAAATTCAGCAATAAATTGACAAACTTAAGTGATGGTGATGATCATAAAGATGGTAGGTCGATCCCATTATGATTCTGAATTTCTGTAAAAATAGTTTTGTATTGAAGTAGATTTTGAAATTGTTTCAATTGTCACACAACATCCATGGTGACCTGTTGCATTCCAGTTACCTAGCAACGCCAGCCCATAATCCAGCAGATGTGGACCGAACAGGGCGAGGTCTTGGAGGAAGGCTAGCCCAGAGTTTCAGCAAGACACGTGATGCTGGTACGTATGCATTTTAATTACGCTTAGCAAAACAAAGACTTTTACCCCAGGGTGTTTGTTTTGACCAGACTGGCTGCAGCTAGAGGTCTGATCAGACTGCTGAAGAAGTTGAGGAAGTGCAATCCCAAATATACTAAGCAGCAAAAGAAACGTCAGTTTGGCATTTTCGTTCGCAGAAACGGATAACTGTAAACTCATTTAATGTTTTGATTGTATATTTTTGACAACATCTCCAACTTTACCTGAACAAAGACCTTGCTTCCCAAACTCAGAATGGAACCCAGGAAATGGTCTCAAAACACAACCTGATCTTGGAGATGGTATGATGTTCTCCATGTTTTTCATGCAACTCATGCTGCACGTGCTGTTCACAAGGACCAGTCCTATAAAATGCACCCCCAAACCTGGTTAAAACATTCACATTACAACGTCAGCAGGATGCCGCGACTCATGACAGCTCAGAGGAACCAGGCACTAGGAAGACTTGAAGCTGGCCACACTGCACAAGCCGTTGCCAATCACTTCCAGGTCAACATTCGGACCATCTACAGGCTGCAGCAACGTTTTCCGGGGCACCAACACCACAAATGATCGCCCCCGTACTGGCAGACCAAGGGTGACCACAAGACAAGACCGCCATGTTGTGCAACAGCATGTACAGAATCCCTTCATGCAGGCATCCGAAACAGCACGCCAGACAGTGAGAACACACGGAAGACCAATCAGTACTGATACAGTACGCCGACGTCTTAACAGTGGGAACCTCCATTGTCGTAGACCTTACCGTTGATCTATCCTCACCCCTCGTCATCGGCGTGAACGTCTACAGTTTGCCCTACAACACCAAAACTGGCGATACAGGCAATGGAGAACTGTTCTGTTCACAGATGAGAGTTGGTACTGCGTATCAACTGCAGATGGCAGAACAAGAATATGGCGACGACGTAGCCAGCGTTACTTAGACTAATGTGTTATTGAAAGAAACTCATGGGGAGGTGCAAGCATCATGGTATGGGGTGGAATAGGCCTGAACCAGAGAGTGGGTCCTGTGGTGTTCCAGAACCTTGGTCCAGGGAGAGGAGGCGGCAACACAGCGGTGCGCTACATCGACCATGCTCTCAGACCCCACGTTATACCACATTTCTCACGGCACCGGAACAACATTTTCCAGCATGATAACGCCTGGGCCCATGCTGCCAGAACTACGCGGGATTTCCTACAGCAGAACGGTGTCAACATTATGCAGTGGCCAGCCCTTAGTCCTGATTTAAACCAAATTGAACATCTTTGGGATGAAATTCAGAGGAGACTGAAAAATGTCATACCAAGGCCGAACACAGCCGATTTATTGCGCCAGGCCTTTCTCAGTGTGTGGTTCCAGATGCCAATGGCCTTCATCAATCGATTGGTGCACTCCATGCATAGACGCTGTGCTGCAGTTATTGCCGCTCGTGATGGTCACACTAGATACTGAAGTCAAGAGTCTGAATGGCCTGCAAATGTTCACGTGATGTTTTGAAATTGTGCTGAGTTATTCATTGATGTGTCAAGATATTGTACACAAAAATGTTTTTGATCCCCTTATTATGTCCATTTCTGTAATGTAACACAGATCCACTTGTTTTCTCATTTTGTTTCACACAGATTTGTCACTGGTGACCAAGAACCGGGGCGCATGCCGAACACCACACTGATAACAGTGAGATATGAGATAACAGTGAGTTGGGCCACACAGGGATGGGATATGAGGAGCCACAGGGGCTTGGGATATGAGATAACAGTGAGTTGGGCCACAGGGACTTGGGATATGAGATAACAGTGAGTTGGGCCACAGGGGCTTGGGATATGAGATAACAGTGAGTTGGGCCACAGGGGCTTGGGATATGAGATAATAGTGAGTTGGGCCACAGGGGCTTGGGATATGAGATAACAGTGAGTTGGGCCATAGGGGCTTGGGATATGAGATAACAGTGAGTTGGGCCACAGGGGCTTGGGATATGAGATAACAGTGAGTTGGGCCACAGGGGCTTGGGATATGAGATAACAGTGAGTTGGGCCACAGGGGCTTGGGATATGAGATAACAGAGAGTTGGGCCACAGGGGCTTGGGATATGAGATAACAGTGAGTTGGGCCACAGGGTCTTGGGATATGAGATAACAGTGAGTTGGCCACAGGGGCTTGGGATATGAGATAACAGTGAGTTGGGCCACAGGGGCTTGGGATATGAGATAACAGAGTTGGGCCACAGGGGCTTGGGATATGAGATAACAGTGAGTTGGGCCACAGGGGCTTGGGGTATGAGATAACAGTGAGTTGGGCCACAGGGGCTTAGGATATGAGATAACAGTGAGTTGGGCCACAGGGGCTTGGGATATGAGATAACAGTGAGTTGGGCCACAGGGGCTTGGGATATGAGATAACAGAGAGTTGGGCCACAGGGGCTTGGGATATGAGATAACAGTGAGTTGGGCCACAGGGGCTTGGAATATGAGATAACAGAGAGTTGGACCACAGGGGCTTGGGATATTAGATAACAGTGAGTTGGGCCACAGGGGCTTGGGATATGAGATAACAGAGAGTTGGGCCACAGGGGCTTGGGATATGAGATAACAGAGAGTTGGGCCACAGGGGCTTGGGATATGAGATAGCAGTGAGTTGGGCCACAGGGGCTTGGGATATGAGATAACAGTGAGTTGGGCCACAGGGGCTTGGGATATGAGATAGCAGTGAGTTGGGCCACAGGGGCTTGGGATATGAGATAACAGTGAGTTGGGCCACAGGGCTTGGGATATGAGATAACAGTGAGTTGGGCCACAGGGGCTTTGGATATGAGATAACAGAGAGTTGGGCCACAGGGGCTTGGGATATGAGATAACAGTGAGTTGGGCCACAGGGGCTTGGGGTATGAGATAACAGTGAGTTGGGCCACAGGGGCTTGGGATATGAGATAACAGTGAGTTGGGCCACAGGGGCTTGGGATATGAGATAACAGTGAGTTGGGCCACAGGGGCTTGGGATATGAGATAACAGTGAGTTGGGCCACAGGGGCTTGGGATATGAGATAACAGTGAGTTGGGCCACAGGGGCTTGGGATATTAGATAACAGTGAGTTGGGCCACAGGGGCTTGGGATATGAGATAACAGAGAGTTGGGCCACAGGGGCTTGGGATATGAGGTAACAGTGAGTTGGGCCACAGGGGCTTGGGATATGAGATAACAGTGAGTTGGGCCACAGGGGCTTGGGATATGAGATAACAGTGAGTTGGGCCACAGGGGCTTGGGATATGAGATAACATTGAGTTGGGCCACAGGGGAGGGGATATGAGATAACAGTGAGTTGGGCCACAGGGGCTTGGGATATGAGATAACAGTGAGTTGGGCCACAGGGGCTTGGGATATGAGATAACAGTGAGTTGGGCCACAGGGGCTTGGGATATGAGATAACGCTGGAAAAGAGTATGGTTTTTCACAACTCACAATTTCAATCACTCACTCAAATATTCAAACCTAGGTTAGATCTTAATAATAGCACACTAGCCCAGGGCTTGTACAAATTTCCCAATTTCTGTATTTTTAAGCATTGCAAGGGCATTTTGTCTTTACCCTTGCTTCTAAAGGTTTGATATTATCTCTAGCCATGTAAACACTTACTGAAACAATCAAGGACTCATTCAAATACTGTCTCAAGCATATCAAGCCTTTGTTGCATCCTTTCAGAGTCATTTGAGATTCCGGAGGCTGAGTTGTTGAAGGATCTGATCTATGCCTTCCAGGGCATCGAGGGCAGCTGGATCAAGTTCGACTCAAGCAGAGAAGGCTACCGGATAGACCCCACGGTAAGCATTGTATTATTTGTGTATTTGTTGTTTTATATCATTGTGATCACTATTAAGCAAGCTCTGACATTCATTCGATTGTGGTGAGTTAGCTCTGTGACGCTCCTTAACGCTCATTAGCTAATGCAGCTTCTTAACCATTTCTGCTGTAACATGATGGTTCCCCAGGATTCATTATAGCTCATATGATCATCTGATAAGTGGAAAGGAAATGATCCTTCCATTAACATTTAAACCTTTCTGTAAGAAAGGTATGATACTTTATGGATAACAACTTCTTTATTTATATTGTGATGCGGCATTTCGATATAGATTCTTATACCATTGTCAAGTTGTCAATCTTGCTTAACATTGGCAAGAAAACTTCTCAAATGCAAATCAAACAGATTAAACCTTCCTGTGTTTGAAATTGATTTACTAGAACAACATGTCTAGCAATAAGTGAACAGAGGGCGACAGAGCAAGCAGGACATGCTATTTGGTTTGATCAAGTCTGATAGGCCTAGGGATGGACAGTTTGGCCTTGGAAAGGACTGAAACATTGATCAAATGACGTGAAAAGGCCTTGTTTACACAAGTCATTAACTCTTACAGTTAATATTTTTCTTGTTACGTTTGATGGTATCGTGACACATGTATCAATTAATAATGTTAACATTGACCAACATCGTGTTGTAAAGAAATGAATGATGTTGAACTGGATATTCCAGTTGACATATTTGTGTTAGTATGTGACCTGACTCAACCGTGTGTTAGTATGTGACCTGACTCAACCGTGTGTTAGTATGAGACCTGACTCAACCGTGTGTTAGTATGCGACCTGACTCAACCGTGTGTTAGTATGTGACCTGACTCAACCGTGTGTTAGTATGTGACCTGACTCAACCGCAGGTGTTAGTATGTGACCTGACTCAACCGCGTGTGTTAGTATGTGACCTGACTCAACCGCGGTAAGTTAGTATGTGACCTGACTCAACCGTGTGTTAGTATGTGACCTGACTCAACCGTGTGTTAGTATGTGACCTGACTCAACCGTGTGTTAGTATGTGACCTGACTCAACCGTGTGTTAGTATGTGACCTGACTCAACCGTGTGTTAGTATGTGACCTGACTCAACCGTGTGTTAGTATGTGACCTGACTCAACCGTGTGTTAGTATGTGACCTGACTCAACCGTGTGTTAGTATGTGACCCGGGTCTTCGGCGTGACGAGCCAACGCTTTAACCATTAGGCTACCCCACCGCCCTGTTTTAGTATGTGACCTGACTCAGCTACGTGTAAGTATGTGACTGACTCAATCATGTGTTTGTATGTGACCTGACTCAATCATGTGTTAGTATGTGACCTGACTCAACCATGTGTTTGTATGTGACCTGACTCAATCATGTTTTAGTATGTGACCTGACTCAGCTACGTGTAAGTATGCGACCTGACTCAATCATGTGTTAGTATGTGACCCAACTCAATAATGTTTTAGTATGTGACCTGACTCAGATACGTGTAAGTATGTGACCTGACTCAATCATGTTTTAGTATGTGACCTGACTCAGCTACGTGTAAGTATGTGACCTGACTCAATCATGTGTTAGTATGTGACCCAACTCAATAATGTTTTAGTATGTGACCTGACTCAGATACGTGTAAGTATGTGACCTGACTCAATCATGTGTTTGTATGTGACCTGACTCAATGATATGTTAGTATGTGACCTGACTCAACTATGTGTTAGTATGTGACCAGACTCAACTATGTGTTAGTATATGACCTGACTCAGCCATGTGTTAGTATGTGACCTGACTCAACCATATGTTGGTATGTGACCTGACTCAGCTATGTGTTAGTATATGACTTGACTCAGCTATGTGTTAGTATATGACCTGACTCAGCTATGTGTTAGTATATGACCTGACTCAACCATGTGTTAGTATGTGACCTGACTCAACCATGTGTTGGTATATGACCTGACTCAACTATGTGTTGGTATATGACCTGACTCAACTATGTGTTGGTATATGACCTGACTCAACATCGTGTTGGTATATGACCTGACTCAGCTATGTGTTAGTATGTGACCTGACTCACCTATGTGTTAGTATGTGACCTGACTCACCTATGTGTTAGTATATGACCTGACTCAACTATGTGTTAGTATATGACCTGACTCAACTATGTGTTGGTATATGACCTGACTCAACTATGTGTTAGTATGCGACCTGACTCAACCATGTGTTGGTATATGACCTGACTCACCTATGTGTTAGTATATGACCTGACTCAACTGTGTGTTGGTATATGACCTGACTCAGCTATGTGTTAGTATGCCAAACCTGACTCACCTATGTGTTAGTATGTGACCTGACTCACCTATGTGTTAGTATGTGACCCTGACTCACCTATGTGTTAGTATATGACCTGACTCACCTATGTTTTAGTATGTGACCTGACTCACCTATGTGTTAGTATATGACCTGACTCAACCATGTGTTAGTATATGACCTGACTCAATCATGTGTTAGTATGTGACCTGACTCACCTATGTGTTAGTATGTGACCTGACTCACCTATGTGTTAGTATATGACCTGACTCAACCATGTGTTAGTATATGACCTGACTCAACTATGTGTTAGTATATGACCTGACTCAACTATGTGTTGGTATATGACCTGACTCAACTATGTGTTAGTATATGATCTGACTCAACCATGTGTTGGTATATGACCTGACTCACCTATGTGTTAGTATATGACCTGACTCAACTGTGTGTTGGTATATGACCTGACTCAGCTATGTGTTAGTATGCGACCTGACTCACCTATGTGTTAGTATGTGACCTGACTCACCTATGTGTTAGTATATGACCTGACTCAATCATGTGTTAGTATGTGACCCAACTCAATAATGTTTTAGTATGTGACCTGACTCAGATACGTGTAAGTATGTGACCTGACTCAATGATGTGTTTGTATGTGACCTGACTCAATGATATGTTAGTATGTGACCTGACTCAACTATGTGTTAGTATGTGACCTGACTCAACTATGTGTTAGTATATGACCTGACTCAGCCATGTGTTAGTATGTGACCTGACTCAACCATATGTTGGTATGTGACCTGACTCAGCTATGTGTTAGTATATGACTTGACTCAGCTATGTGTTAGTATATGACCTGACTCAGCTATGTGTTAGTATATGACCTGACTCAACCATGTGTTAGTATGTGACCTGACTCAACCATGTGTTGGTATATGACCTGACTCAACTATGTGTTAGTATATGACCTGACTCAACTATGTGTTAGTATTTGACCTGACTCAACTATGTGTTGGTATATGACCTGACTCAACTTCGTGTTGGTATATGACCTGACTCAGCTATGTGTTAGTATGTGACCTGACTCACCTATGTGTTAGTATGTGACCTGACTCACCTATGTGTTAGTATATGACCTGACTCAACTATGTGTTAGTATATGACCTGACTCAACTATGTGTTGGTATATGACCTGACTCAACTATGTGTTAGTATGCGACCTGACTCAACCATGTGTTGGTATATGACCTGACTCACCTATGTGTTAGTATATGACCTGACTCAACTGTGTGTTGGTATATGACCTGACTCAGCTATGTGTTAGTATGCGACCTGACTCACCTATGTGTTAGTATGTGACCTGACTCACCTATGTGTTAGTATGTGACCTGACTCACCTATGTGTTAGTATATGACCTGACTCACCTATGTTTTAGTATGTGACCTGACTCACCTATGTGTTAGTATATGACCTGACTCAACCATGTGTTAGTATATGACCTGACTCAATCATGTGTTAGTATGTGACCTGACTCACCTATGTGTTAGTATGTGACCTGACTCACCTATGTGTTAGTATATGACCTGACTCAACCATGTGTTAGTATATGACCTGACTCAACTATGTGTTAGTATATGACCTGACTCAACTATGTGTTGGTATATGACCTGACTCAACTATGTGTTAGTATATGATCTGACTCAACCATGTGTTGGTATATGACCTGACTCACCTATGTGTTAGTATATGACCTGACTCAACTGTGTGTTGGTATATGACCTGACTCAGCTATGTGTTAGTATGCGACCTGACTCACCTATGTGTTAGTATGTGACCTGACTCACCTATGTGTTAGTATGTGACCTGACTCACGTATGTGTTAGTATATGACCTGACTCAACTATGTGTGAGTATATGACCTGACTCAACTATGTGTTAGTATATGACCTGACTCAACTATGTGTTGGTATGTGACCTGACTCAGCTATGTGTTGGTATATGACCTGACTCAGCTATGTGTTAGTATATGACCTGACTCAACTATGTGTTAGTATATGACCTGACTCAACCATGTGTTAGTATATGACCTGACTCAACCATGTGTTAGTATGTGACCTGACTCAACCAAGTGTTGGTATGTGACCTGACTGAACCTTGTGCTAACATGTTCACAAGAAATGTGCAGTATTACTGCTGTACAAGTTATCCAACAAATGAAATTGTATTGCAGTCCATTTGGTAAATATTGGTATATGCATTTCTTGTGACAAATCAAATTTAAATTAGTAGCTGTTAAAAACTATGTTCAGCTTTCTGTATGTAATATGTCAACGTGTATGCTTGGAACATAGCAACATGCATCAATGTGTGTATTTTTGCACTCTCTGGTGCAGTGATGACTTAGCATAACATCACTGCCACAGGCTAATTTGTATATCACGTGACCGGACTTTTCTCATGTTTGTAAACAAACGCGCATATTCGAAAATAAGAAGAGACTGTCTGAATGCAAGCTTTTCGGTGCGCTCCTTATAATGTTTTACATTGTTACATAGATGTTCTTCTACAACCGCGACAGTTAAGTCTATGACAGTACATGCTTATATATAAAAGCAGCTACATTGTTTGCTCTCCGTAGGGGCTTCGATGACAGCACATGGAACCGCACAACTTATGTAAACAAAGAATCACTACGCAAACCAAAATAGTGTATCATGTTTTAGGATATTTTCTCAGTGAAACTAAACCATTCTGACAAAGAAATTGTGTAGACTCATCAAAAACAAAAGAGCTAAGAAATATGTACAATATATTGAATGGACGGTGCAGAGGTCTGGCCTGTGGCAGAGGTCCTATACTGCTCGCATGGAACTCTGGGTAGGAGAGTGATATTTTTGGTTATTGTTATTGAGGTTCATAACAAGTTCTGATGAAAGAACACATGCTAAAATAGAAGTCAGACCCATCTCTGTCGATGTTCACACTGTCCACCACTTGCCTCATCCAGGTCCAGTCGGAGCCTTGTTGAACACCTGGTGTCATCAGTGTTAGTTCATAAGCATGTGCTTACCATATTCAGAATTGTACAGTGGTCTCCAGTTGGAGTAGAAACGTCTGGCGATTACGGAAATGCTCATCGTTCGTTGTCTGGGCATGAAACAACATTCACTGTGAAAATGGTTTCGAGGAATAAAGCAACAAATGTTTCCATGTCTTGTACAGATGATTTGCGCATCCTGACCTTTTAATGTTTTATATCTGACTGTTGGTGAACATCTGTGCCTTGTTACTCAGGTTTAAATATTTGAACATGAGCAAGTTGTTGATTGAGCCTAGTTGTGTCTGGAACCCGTGAAGGTCCGGGTTAGAATATTGATCTTCAGTAACCCAAGCTTGTCGTAAGAGGCGACTAACGGGACTCGCTGACTTGGTTGACACATGTCATCGGTTCCCAATTTTGCAGATCAATGCTCATGCTGTTGATCCAGGGTTTCAAAATTATTGCCACAGGGCAAGTGACTTTAAGAAAGTAACTTGTCCTGACAAATTTTCCACTTGCCCTGATTTTATGACATAATCATGATGATGTAATTATAAAAGAATAAATCAACATGGTATCTGATGTTAATGTTTACTGGACAATTTATTAAAAAGTGATAAATAGCAAAGAAAGATAACTCTTCTTTATCATCATTGCGAAATTTAAAAGCTACATTTTGAGCAGATATGAAAATAAATCCAAGTTTATTTGCAGTTTGAAACCATAAGTGGAAATTATCTAGTAGCCCACGGACAAGTAAGATACCATTATTTGATTGCCCGAAATGAAAACTGACTGCCCGGGCGTCGGGCGATGGGATTTTTGAACCCCTGTGATCACTGGATTGTCTGGTCCAGACTCGATTATTTGCAGACCGCCGCCATATAGCTGGAATATTGCTGAGTGCGGCGTAAAACTAAACTCACTCACTCACTAGGTGTGTCTGGAGACGTATGTTACAGCACAAGGTTAAAAAGTCATCTTGGATCATAGGCTATCTATATCATCAAAGTGTATGTGTATACAAAAGATATAACATGCTTTTGAACATGCAAGAAATTTTCATACCAGTATTTCCAAGTTATCTGTACTTGTTTTGGTAAAGGAAATTAAGTTGGACAGACAGATTTTTTACTACATCCTCCTTTATTACAAACTGGCCAGCTTATGATATTATAGCTGTCTGTCTGTGTGTCCCCAGGCTGGCATACCGAAGGCGGTGCGGCAACTGATCAGCAAATTGGCCGAGTGTGGCTGGCTGTACAACAAGATCAAGGCGTATGTGGAGACACGCAGCTCGGACAAGGCGTTCGGTCTGGTAGGACAGGTACGACAAGAAGATACTCTTGAATTTATTTTAACTCATTTGAAGTGAACATGCCTGTCTGTTTAACCAAAGATAAAATTGACAATTCCATAATATTATGTTCGACACATCTCACATAGCTTCACATACTGTCAGCTTGACTCTTAAGGGATAATTTTGTGCTACACATTTGTAATTCATAAACAGGTTAGACAACCATAGATATGATACGTCCCGTTTAAATAATCAGAGATCAAGTAATGTCAAGTTTTGGGGCAATACAGCAGGACCAGAAAGCAACACATCAGAGGTTGACTGATCAATTCAGCTGTAATTTATCATGTGAATAACATCATAATATTGTTTCAGGAATCTCTTCTCTCGCCTTATTGACTTTCCATACATTCAAGTTGAGATAATAGTGTGTTTTTATTTTTATGGCGTACAAACAGTTTTTGTTCCGCTTGTCAGAGTTTCTGTGCTGCCTTGCATCATGAGATGACAGAGTTCTACCGGCTGATAGCAGTGCTGGAGGCACAGGTACGGTGGCTCTCACTGTCCAGGGCTATCTCCCTTTACGCCTTCCCATAATGCTTTATAGCCATAGATTGGCTGTCGATTTTAGTGTTTTGTTTTAAGACGTATAAGACTTCTTGTGAATCGGCATTAAATGTTCAACAATGGGTCCAACTATCAAAGCATTGAAAATATAGGAAGGAATGTGACGTTATAGTCAACTATCAAAGCATTGAATATATGGGAGTGTGACGTTATAGCCAACTATCAAAGCATTGAAAATATAGGAGTGTGACGTTATAGCCAACTATCAAAGCATTGAAAATATAGGAGTGTGACGTTATAGCCAACTATAAAAGCATTGAAAATATTTTGAACATGATGTTATGTCAATGTGTTGAGCCACAGAAATGAAGAGTTATAGGGCAGAGTACCAGAAAGTTTACCCCTCCCCTGCCCTTTAATGTGTAACATGGTGTTGAAAGGGCCATAACTCTCCCCACAGCTGCAGCAGGAACAGGATGAGGGCTTCTCTGAGTCTCAGCCCGGCCTCACACTCCGCCGTCTAATGGTGTGGACCTTTGACCCACTTGTCAGACTGAAGTCTCTTGCTGCATTGGTGGACGTGTGTAAAGGTAGGCTTGACAACAGGTAGATGTATGTAAAGGTAGGCTTGACAACAGGTAGATGTGTGTCAAGGTATGTTTTGACAACAGTAGATGTGTGTAAAGGTAGACTTGACAGCAGGTACGTGTCTAAAGGGAGGTTTGACAGCAGTAGATGTGTGTAAAGGTAGGCTTGACAGCAGATACATGTGTCTAAAGGTAGGCTTGACAGCAGATACATGTGTGTAAAGGTAGGCTTGACAGCAGGTACATGTGTGTCTGAAGGTAGGCTTGACAGCAGGTGTGTGTGTAAAGGTAGGCTTGGCAGCAGGTATGTGTGTAAAGGTAGGCTCGACAGCAGGTATGTGTGTAAAGGTAGGCTTGTCAGCAGATACATGTGTCTAAATATAGGCTTGACAGAAGATACATGAGTGTAAAGGTAGGCTTGACAGAAGATACATGTGTGTAAAGGTAGGCTTGACAGCAGGTATGTGTGTAAAGGTAGGTTTGGCAACAGGTAAATGTGTGTAAAGGTAGGCTTGACAGCAGGTACATGTGTGTACAGGTAGGTTTGGCAACAGGTAAATGTGTGTAAAGGTAGGCTTGACAGCAGGTACATGTGTGTACAGGTAGGCTAGACAGCAGGTATGTGTGTAAAGGTAGGTTTGGCAACAGGTAAATGTGTGTAAAGGTAGGCTCGACAGCAGGTACATGTGTGTAAAGGTAGGCTTGTCAGCAGATACATGTGTCTAAATATAGGCTTGACAGAAGATACATGTGTGTAAAGGTAGGCTTGACAGCAGGTATGTGTGTAAAGGTAGGTTTGGCAACAGGTAAATGTGTGTAAAGGTAGGCTTGACAGCAGGTACATGTGTGTACAGGTAGGCTTGACAGCAGGTACATGTGTGTAAAGGTAGGCTTGACAGCAGGTACATGTGTGTAAAGGTAGGCTTGACAGCAGGTACATGTGTGTAAAGGTAGGCTTGACAGCGGGTACATGTGTTTAAAGGTAGGCTAGACAGTAGGTACATATGTGTACAGGTAGGCTTGACAGCAGGTACATGTGTCGAAAGGTAGGCTTGACAGCAGGTACATGTGTCGAATGGTAGGCTTGACATTGGTCCACTGTATCAGCTTTCATCTGTTTCCAGGGAAGAAAGGCGGAGCCCTGGCATCAAGTATCTACTCGTACATGCAGCATGGAGACCCCTACATCCGAGCCCTCATCAAACACACACTTACCATGGTAGGGCAGAATGGACCTTACTGGCTGTTACTTGTTCAGATATTTCTCATGTTGCTCTGTTTCAAAGCAGCAAAGTTGGGTTTTACAGAACATGGAGAATAAACCAGCTCCTTTCAAAATATATTGAGACTTATCAAAAGGTAGAATGTTGTTAGACGATGTATGCTCACAAATAGCTGTAAATAGAACTAACTGCAGTAATAGTAGGTAGCTTTAAGTGAGGTCAGTCGGGTAGCCTTGTGGTGAAGGTGTTGGGCAGTGCAGTGGTCCAGGGTTCAAATTCATGCTTTGGTACTCTGAAATGTTTTCGTTTCGTGCATATTCTTATTATCCCCCGCCTCGCGTTTAGCACGAAGGGGGGGATATGCGAAGCGGGGAAGATAGTATTAGGCTCCGTCCGTACGTACGTTCGAATTGGAATATCTTAAGAACCGTTCACTAGATTTTTTTTATATTTGGTACCTAGGTTCATCACACTATAAGAAAGGTCCAAGTCCGGTTTTATATGACCTTGACCTTCATTTCAAGGTCACAAGGGGACTTTAGCGTTTTACCTGCATGTTAAGCTATCTCAAGAACCGTTTCCTGGATTTTCTTCATATTCAATGCCAAGCTTTGTCTAGGGACGGCACAGGGCCCAGTCGATTTTGGTGATCTTCACATAATTTTCAAGGTCATGGCGACACTGAAGATTTCAGCATGTTAACCTGCATGTTAAGCTATCTCAAGAACCGTGTCCTGATTCTGGATTTTCTTCATATTCAACCCCAAGCTTTATCTAGGGAAGGCGCAGGGCCAGTCAATTTTGGTGACCTTCACATAATTTTCAAGGTCATGGCAACACTTTGAAGATTTCAGCATGTAAACTTGCATGTTAAGCTCTCTCAAGAACCGTTCGCTGGATTTTCTTCATTTTTAACACCAAGCTTTATCTAGGGAAGGCACAGGGCTTAGTCAATTTTGGTGACCTTCACTTAATTTTCAAGGTCACAGAGACACTTTGAAGATTTTAGCATGTTAAATTGCTTGTTAAGATAGTCAGCAAGATATCGCAAAAAATATTCAGTGGATTTTCTTCATATTTGACACCAAGCTTCATCTAGGGAAGGCCCAGGGCCCAGTCAATTTTGGTGACCTTCACATAATTTTTAGGGTCACGACGACACTATGAAGATTTCAGAATGTTAACCTGAATTGTCAGCAAGATATTTTAAGAACGGTTCACTGGATTTTCTTCATAGACTTTCAAGACCTCCCTTGAATGTTTTTCAATAAGCAATTTCTTTAGTACTAGTTTTGCATATTTCATACACTATGACATTCATGTCAAGGTCAAAGTCAGTCTTGAAAATATGTGTGTGTTTGAACAACTAAAGAACAAGATAATGTTTTTCATGACATTTAACTTCATCTTAAGCTTTCATTACTTTATAAGTTTGATTTGATAATTTGCGGTGAGGGATTATGTCACCTTAGTGACAATGCTTTTCGTTTTTGATTTTAATGTGACATTCAGTGAAATAATAATAATCTCATCATTAAAGCCACTTCCTGTTATCAGTACAAGTCATCACGTTAGATATGACAATAACAGTTTAAATGTTGGATTCCAGTTTAGGAATGTGTACGGACATTTTCTGCTGTGGTCACATATATAACCCTGGCTTGTTGTGTGCAGGTTTCTCAGCCGATATACGCCACCCTGCTTCGATGGATCTACGATGGCGAGTTGGAAGACACGTACCACGAGGTCAGTTTTGACAACATTCCTGTAAATTCACTCTACACATTTTGGCTAATTTTCCTGAAACTGTGATTTTACGTTGGTACTGGCTGGTACAACAGGTAGGTGCCTGGAGAAATATGACTTTGCTAATATATGGGTGAAAAGGGCGATAGGATGTTACTGTGATTGGGGGTCACTATAAGTTATCACATCGTGTCTCGGGAAATACGGCTGTTGACAACAGCTGATCGATTGACCTCAATGCAGCGCACGTTACTAAAGGCTTGGTGATCACTTCGCGTGGTCACCAAGGCGTGGCGGGATAATATGACTTTTGTACTCCCTGCTCGCGGATCGTGACGGTTGTACATGGTATTTTATCAGAGTCACGTGAACCAATCAAAACTTGACATTCTTACATGAGGCTGGATAAAGCAGTTTGAGTTATAGACACCTCAAGGAGCTGAGAATGGAAATGTAGTGCACATCAATCCTTGGTCCAGGGTAATAATGGAGAATGTATACAGCCTTAAAATGATTATTTTCTTTCGATATCATTTATATCTACACAAGTCCATAAAAGCTTAAAAAATTAGTGTTAATGTGTTCAAAATCAAACTAAGTCTGTGTGGCTTCATTCTTCCAACCTTTCCAGGCAGTAAACACTAATAACCAGTGCCTGGAGTGTTAAACGTAGTTCAGTGGCAGAGATAAGTGATATCATTTAATTGTGACGTCACAGTAACCATTAATGTCACAATGGCCTGCAAAGCTTAGTAATGCTATTACATTCACATTTTATATCTAAGGAGACATTGACAGCCTCCGTGGTGTAGTAGTTAGAGCGTCCGCCCGGAGAGACCGGAAGGTCGCAGGTTCGATCCCCGACCACGTCATACCAAAAGACGTTAAAATATGGTACTTGTTGGTCCCTGTCTGGCGTTCGGCATTAATGGGTACAACAAGGACTGGTCGGCTCGGAGTCAGTATAATGTGTCTGAGTGGGGTATCCATGCTTCACTGTGGCATGGTATCTCAGTGAGCTAGCACTATAAAACCAGCTTCAGTCTGTGCTAGTACAAGCAGCCGCACATACACACACACACACATGCATGCACGTCGTCATATGAGCAAAATATTCTCAAGCACGACGTTAAATTCAATTTCACCTCATCTAAGGAGACATTGCTGGATCTCACTGAGCCTGTATCTCCTGAAGAAGCCAGTTTGGGAATAATACACACATCCTGCCTCTATTGTGAAGCAAGTGACAATATGTAATTTATTTTTCAGTTTTTTGTGGCGTCAGACCCAACTGTTAAGAATGACCTCCTGTGGTACGACAAATACAGCCTGCGGAAGTCCATGATACCCACATTTGTCACCACAGAGCAGGCCAGGAAGGTGAGTCAACAGGACGTGAATAACAGCTGATCAGATGTACCCATTATGCACCTGGCTTCTGTGTGGTGGCCAATCGTGTTACTAAGGATTGCACACTATCATAGAAATAACAGGATACTGCAACACCTTTTTCAAACGATATGTTTAATATATAACTTTATATTCTAGCATATTTAGTGAAAATGTATTCAAGTTTTGTTATTTGTGTTTTTTTACAGGGTTAGAATATTGATCTTCAGTAACCCATGCTTGTCGTAAGAGGCTACTAACAGGATCTGGTGTTCAGGTTCGCTGATTTGGTTGACACATGTCACCGTATCCGAATTGCGTAGATCGGTGCTCACGCTAATGATCACCAGATTGTCCGGTCCAGACTCGATTATTTACAGACTGCCACCATATAGCTGGAATATTGCTGAGGGCTGTTTAAAACTAAACTCACTCACTCACTGTTAACCTAAAGTTTACATAATATTTCATTTACGTTGAATATGTTGTGTTACAGTTACCTATATCACAGTATATGTTGTGATACAGTTACCGATATCGCAGTATATGTTGTGATACAGTTACTGATATCACAGAATATGTTGTGATAAAGTTACCGATATCACAGAGTATATGTTGTGATACAGTTACCGATATCGCAGTATATGTTGTGATACAGTTACTGATATCACAGTATATATTGTGATACAGTTACCGATTTGCAGAATATGTTGTGATACAGTTACCGATATCGCAGTATATGTTGTGATACAGTTACCGATATCGCAGTATATGTTGTGATACAGTTACTGATATCACAGTATATGATGTGATACAGTTACCGATATCGCAGTATATGTTGTGATACAGTTACTGATATCACAGTATATGTTGTGATACAGTTACCCATATCGCAGTATATGTTGTGATAAAGTTACCGATATCGCAGAATATGTTGTGATAGAGTTACCGATATCGCAGTATATGTTGTGATACAGTTACCGATATCACAGTATATGTTGTGATACAGTTACCGATATCACAGTATATGTTGTGATACAGTTACCGATATCACAGTATATGTTGTGATACAGTTACCGATATCGCAGTATATGTTGTGATACAATTACCGATATCGCAGTATATGTTGTGATACAGTTACCGATATCGCAGTATATCTCCGTAAATTTTATTGCCAATACACAGTCCTGTTATGTACGTGTTGTGTGTCAGATCCTGTTGACGGGGAAGTCCATCAACTTCCTGAGACAGGTGTGTCAGGACCGCACACCCACTAAAGGCAGGGAGGTCGCGATGACTTTCGATGTCCAGAAAGGTAAGCTCTCCCTCAGCAGTTGCAAGAAATACATTTGGCAAGGGTACAAGATGCATATACAGAGTTGAGTTGAAAGATGCTGATCTTGAACCTATGACATTCTGAATGTTATGTTGTTGATGCTGTACTTGTGTTGAAGGATTCCCGATGTGGTCAATTCCAGACTAAGGTTCCTTTAAAATTTGGAATATGTTTTCTAATTTAGCGGTATTTTAACTATGCATTTAATAAATTAACTTTAGAATAAGCAATAAAGCCTCCGCAAAAAAGTCCCACAAAGTCAGTGCATTGTAGAGAGAGTGCTATGAAGACAGAGAGAGAGAAAGCGAGAGCTACTTAGAGAGTGTTACGTAGGGAGAGAAGGTAGTGGAGAGAGAGAGGGTGCACACACAGACAGTACTATGTTGAGAGAGAATTACATAGAGAGTACCGTGGAGAGACACTTAATGCATTTACAGTATCAAGTAACATCAAGTGTTTCTTTGCAGTAAAGTAGTAATGTATCTTTGAAAACAATTAACATTTGAACTGTTGCCCATTCCTAATGAAATATATGGGATATTAATACCCATTCTGCTATCATTGAAAGACTATCTAATATGTTCCTGACATATGTAAACACACAGGTTTTCTCAGGCTAAAATTCTCAGTTTCAGATGATATTGTTCAATGTTCAATCAACTATGATTCAAAATGTAAGACAGAATATGTGTATCTCCAATACATGGTGGAAGTATGAGAGGATGTGATGTTGTTGGTGTTGCAGCGGAGTGCATGCTGACCCAGGACACGGGTACAGAGTTCCAGCTGATGGTGGACACGGTATACAAGGACACAAGTCAGCATCTCCTTGACGTCTTCAACAACCAGTACAAGTTCCTCGACCATCTCAAGGTTCGTTATATTTATGCTGTATTCAAAATAGTGCAGTCAGCCTCTTACAGCTAAAGGGACGTCGGGGTAGCCTAGTGGTTAAAGCATTCGCTCGTCATGCTGAAAACCCGGGTTCATTTCCCACATGGGTACAATGTGTGAAGCTCATTTATGGTGTCCCCTGCTGGAATATTGCTAAAAGCGGTGTAAAACTATATTCACTCTCTCTTGCAGCTAGAACCTGTGAAGATCCCCATTAAAATTGCTCTTCAGCAACCCATGCTTGTCATAAGATTCAACTAAAAGAATCGGGTGGTCAGACTCACTGACGTGTTTGTTTTTTATAGATCTCAAAGGACGTAGGAAATCGTAATGTTAAATTTTTGTAAGAATTTTAGTTGTTTCAAGTGCTGGCTGGTAGAGTTTGGGAAAAAGTCTCATCATTATTTCAGCAATGTATTTCTTACTGCTTGCAAAAATTGTGTTCAATTGTCTTTCTGCTTACTTCCAGACCAAACTGATGCTAGTGGCATGTATGAGACTAGGACAGTGTCTTTGTATAAATTGTGGAAACTGTAATTCAAAGATTGGTCTCGATCAGAGAACTTCAGCAGTAGATGTTTCAAATGGTGAAAATATATGGACCTAGAAGTTGTTTCAACTTAGAATCACTTCCAAGCATCCGCCATGATATTGCTGGAATATTGCTAAATTCACTCACTCACTCCAAGCATCCAGTTCTGGATCGAGAGGACAACGTACACCACACTCAGGACATGCAATATTTCTATAAATGTGGTTCAGACTAGTAGTTGGATTGAGAGGCTTGATTGAAAGGACCTTTTCATTACTGGGCTGAAAAGTCAGGTAGCTGAAGGGCAGTTATTTTTCACTGTAGCTTGCCCTGATTATTCTTACACACAGGATTATGTGGTTATTTTACATGGCCACTATTCCAGAATGAACTGTGAACTACTTGGATGTAACATGGCGTCTGCCCTGTGAATGTAATGGCCTTATCTCCTTACATATACAGTTTGGATGAAATCCATTTTCAATGTGTTTGTCTAGAAGTGTATGTGTAAATGCTCTTTAAAGACTTCCATGTTTGCGCTATGTTGTGATGATCTGTAATGATGCAGTGTTGTGATGATGTGATGCTGTTCCTGCAGGCGACGCGGCGCTACTTGCTGCTGGGACAGGGAGACTTCATCCGCCACTTGATGGACTTGTTAGAGTATGTAGTTGCCTTTCTTTCCTAAGGGACTGTGTAATGTCTGATGCTCATATTCTTAGAGTTAATGAAATGTAAAATGCCCACTTTTCCAGAGGTAATGTAATGTTGATGCTGATAATGTCATGTCCTAGAGGTAGCATACCTAGAGGTAACATACCTAGAGGTAACATACCTAGAGGTAGCATACCTGGAGGTAGCATACCTGGAGGTAGCATACCTGGAGGTAACATACCTGGAGGTAGCATACCTCCATACCTGGAGGTAGCATACCTGGAGGTAACATACCTAGAGGTAACATGCCTAGAGGTAACATACCTGGAGGTAACATACCTAGAGGTAGCATACCTAGAGGTAGCATACCTAGAGGTAGCATACCTAGAGGTAACATACCTAGAGATAGCATACCTGGAGGTAACATACCTAGAGGTAACATACCTAGAGGTAGCATACCTAGAGGTAACATACCTAGAGATAGCATACCTAGAGGTAACATACCTAGAGGTAACATACCCCTGTGATGACTGACCCATGTGATGACTGACCCCTGTGACCCCTGTGATGACTGACCCCTGTGATGACTGACCCATGTTTACAGGGAGGATCTGGCCAAGCCCGCCAGCAACCTGTATCTCCACAACCTGACCGGGATCCTGGAGACAGCTATCAGGGCCACTAACGCCCAGTTCGACGACTCCGACATACTTAAGAGGCTGGATGTCCGGTTGCTTGAGGTACGCAGTGTTTAGAGCATGCACAGATTAAAGGTTGTACTGTTAGAATGTAATTGACAGCCTTAGGGACTCACTAACTCAGGCTTGTTGTAAGAGTAGCCACAGAGCGAGGTGAGCTTTTGTAACCCACCAGCTTCTGCTGCTTCCTTGATTGCACTCTCACTCACTCACTCACTCACTCACTCACTCACTGCCTCCCTCCCTCCCTCCCTCCCTCGCTCACTCACTCACTCCTGGATGTGTTTCAGGTGTCGCCTGGGGACACCGGCTGGGACGTCTTCAGTCTGGATTATCATGTGGACGGACCGATACGTACGGTAAGTCCGTTCTTACAAAATACATCATCCTTAGACATACATGGGAGGTTTTCAGTAATTCACATTGACACTTTATTTGTACATGTCTATACTGACATCACTTCCATTGTGTGCGAAACAGCACATAATCAACTAAACACAATATTAAAAACTTGAAGATGATGTCGTTATTTGTTCATGACGTTACAGACAATGTCATGTGATGCCGTTCCACCAACAGGATGTTCATGTAAACTTGCAAACTGTATTATTACACATTCTTTCATTATGTCAGGTGTTCACGCCCCAGTGTGTCATCATGTACCTGCGTGTGTTCAACTTCCTGTGGCGCGCCAAGAGGATGGAGTACATACTGGCTATCATCTGGAAGAATCAGATGACATTCGCTCGCCAACTCCGTACAATACCAGGTGAGGTCACGGGGAAAGGTCACATCAGACACCTTGTTCTGTAACTAGAGGTGATTCCATGAGTAGGTGCTCTACTCAGTTTACAAAGCTCAAAACTACTGCTTTATCTGACCCTACATTGATCTGTTTGTAAGTACAAGTGTACACGTTCAATGTCAGTATGTGTGCGAGTATGAAATGTCGGTAATTCTAGTATGTACTGAAAGTGTGTAATGGAAAGATGAATTGTAAGTTATTTATGTATTCAGCGGCGTACGTACGTACGTCCCGATTCTTGTTAACGTGATATTTCATGAACTGTTGTACCCAATGTCTTCACATATGGTGACAGCCTACATTGGGGGATTACGCAGACACCAGTCGATTTGGGTGACCTTGACCTTATTTTCAAGGTCACCCTGACACTTTGCACACTTTTAACTCTTGTTAACGCGATATCTCATGGACTGTTGTACCCAATGTCTTCAAATTTGGTGACAGCCTACATTGGGGGATTACGCAGACACTGCTTTATTTGGGTGACCTTGACCTTACCTTCAAGGTCACCACGACACTTTGACCGCTTTTCAAACTTATTTAATCGCGATATCTCATAAAACATTGCACCCAATGTTTTCAATTATGTTGACAGCCTACATTGGGTGATTATGCAGACACCAGTCATTTCCGGCATCTTTTATGTGACCAAAAAATAAAAATTAGTAAATATAGATATTCCATTCTTTATCGGCGTGGGACATTGCCATATCAGTGGCAAACACTTGTTAAGGACGGGTTGTAAGTATATAATGTAAGTCAGACTAAGTATGTATGATAAGTATGTAGTGTAAAGATATGTTGCAAGTACTTTATGTAAGTAGGATCAAGTGTGTAATGAAGGGATATGATGTAATTATGTGTGTAATGTAATGTGTAATGTAAGTACGGTGTGTGTTACAGAGTTGAAAGGATATGATGTAATTATGTGTATAATGTAGTGTTTAATGTAAGTACGGTGTGTGTTACAGAGTTGAAGGGATATGATGTAATTATGTATGTAATATAAGGTGTCATGTAAGTACTGTAAGGTGTGTGTGTTACAGAGTTGAAGGGATATGATGTAATTATGTGTGTAATGTAAGGTGTGTCATGTAAGTTACGAGTTGTGTGTTACAGAGTTGAAGGGATATGATGTAATTATGTGTGTAATGTAAGGTGTCATGTAAGTACGGTGTGTGTTACAGAGTTGAAGGGATATGATGTAATTATGTATGTAATGTAAGGTGTCATGTAAGTACGGTGTGTGTTACAGAGTTGAAGGGATATGATGTAATTATATGCGTAATGTAAGGCGTAATGTAAGGTGCGTAATGTAAGGTGTCATGAAAGTACGGTGTGTGTTACAGAGTTGAAGGGATATGATGTAATTATGTATGTAATGTAAGGTGTCATGTAAGTACGGTGTGGTTACAGAGTTGAAGGGATATGATGTAATTATGTATGTAATGTAAGGTGTCATGTAAGTACGGTGTGTGTTACAGAGTTGAAGGGCATCCTGCACCAGTGCCACGCCCTAGGCTGTGAGATGGTGCACTTCATCCAGCAGGCACAGTACTACATCAACTTCGAGGTGACCGACAACGTTTCACTTCCTTCTGTTCACTTGCTTCTTTTTGTACTGAAGATGCAAACGTAGTTTCAGAAGGTCACAGTTTTGTGATCAAAATATTACTGACATTAAACAAAACACAAGCAAAAAAGACAAGATGAACTCGAAATTGAACAATTATGCTCAAGACTTCAGTACCCCGACACATGGTAGACAGTATCTTGACCACTGGGAGACTTGTTTGCAGCAGAAACTGCTCAATTTTGTGTGCTTAAGAACATATTTATCTGGAATATTTTGCTAATTTCAACATCATAAGAGGACCATTTTGTTATAAGAAAATATATTAATGCCCAGGTAGATATAGAATTAGCCAGTGCCTGGACCCTCTTCCATGAAGTGATTGTAACTGATACTTTTCAATTGTGGTGATACTATTGCTTTGAGAAATGGGGTTGTGGTAGTGGGTTGACAGTGCCCTTGTTCCTCTGTGGTCTTGATGTGATTGTGTTCTTGTTATCAGGTGCTTGAGTGTTCCTGGGACGAGCTTCTCACCAAAGTGCAGGAAGCAGAGGACCTTGACTACATCATCGCAGCCCATCAGGTGTTCTTGGACACCATTGTCTCCAGGTGTCTCCTTGATGACAAGTCCAGGGTAGGTGTCATACACACAATACAGGTGTCTCCTTGATGACAAGTCCAGGGTAGGTGTCATACACAAAATACAGGTGTCTCCTTGGTGACAAGTCCAGGGTAGGTGTCATACACACAATACAGGTGTCTCCTTGATGACAAGTCTAGGGTAGGTGTCATACACACAATACAGGTGTCTCCTTGATGACAAGTCCAGGGTAGGTGTCATACACACAATACAGGTGTCTCCTTGATGACAAGTCCAGGGTAGGTGTCATACACAAAATACAGGTGTCTCCTTGATGACAAGTCCAGGGTAGGTGTCACACACACAAGAGGTGTCTCCTTGATGACAAGTCTAGGGTAGGTGTCATACACACAATACAGGTGTCTCCTTGATGACAAGTCCAGGGTAGGTGTCATACACACAATACAGGTGTCTCCTTGATGACAAGTCCAGGGTAGGTGTCATACACACAATACAGGTGTCTCCTTGATGACAAGTCCAGGGTAGGTGTCATACACAAAATACAGGTGTCTCCTTGATGACAAGTCCAGGGTAGGTGTCATACACAAAATACAGATGACTCCTTGATGACAAGTTCAGGGTAGGTGTCATACACAAAATACAGGTGCCTCCTTGATGACAAGTCCAGGGTAGGTGTCATACACCAAATACAGGTGTCTCCTTGATGACAAGTCCAGGGTAGGTGTCATACACACAATACAGGTGTCTCCTTGATGACAAGTCCAGGGTAGGTGTCATACACAAAATACAGATGACTCCTTGATGACAAGTCCAGGGTAGGTGTCATACACAAAATACAGATGACTCCTTGATGACAAGTCCAGGGTAGGTGTCATACACCAAATACAGGTGTCTCCTTGATGACAAGTCCAGGGTAGGTGTCATACACACAATACAGGTGTCTCCTTGATGACAAGTCTAGGGTAGGTGTCATACACAATACAGGTGTCTCCTTGATGACAAGTCCAGGGTAGGTGTCATACACAAAATACAGGTGTCTCCTTGATGACAAGTCTAGGGTAGGTGTCATACACAAAATACAGATGACTCCTTGATGACAAGTCCAGGGTAGGTGTCATACACAAAATACAGGTGCCTCCTTGATGACAAGGCCAGGGTAGGTGTCATACACAAAATACAGTTGTCTCCTTGGTGACAAGTCCAGGGTAGGTGTCATACACACAATACAGGTGTCTCCTTGATGACAAGTCCAGGGTAGGTGTCATACACACAATACAGGTGCCTCCTTGATGACAAGTCCAGGGTAGGTGTCATACACAAAATACAGGTGTCTCCTTGATGACAAGTCCAGGGTAGGTGTCTTGAACAAAATACAGGCGTCTCCTTGATGACAAAGGCCAGGGTAGGTGTCATACACAAAATACAGGTGTCTCCTTGATGACAAGTCCAGGGTAGGTGTCATACACAAAATACAGGTGCCTCCTTAATGACAAGTCCAAGGTAGGTGTCATACACAAAATACAGGTGCCTCCTTGATGACAAAGTCCAGGGTAGGTGTCCTATACAAAATACAGGTGTCTCCTCTAAGAACAATCTAGTTCAGGGCATATTTAGAAGACAGGTCATCTTGGAAAACAATCCTGCAAGGTTACATGTATGTACAATACAGCAGCCGCCTTGATGACAAGTCTCTGGTTTTACATTACATGTGTGTTCCTGGACACTGTATGTATACAAGGGAGCCACAGCTCCTGGATACTGGGGGTATCTCTTGCTTTGCTTCATAGATCATCACAAGCCAGGAGCTGCTGGTTCTGGTAATTATTGAATGTTTCAGTTAATACTTAGTTTGTCAGCACCCTTACAGGCCTTAATGTCAGTCAGGCCCTTAATGTCAGTCAGGCCCTTAATCTCAGCCAGGCCTTAATGTCAGTCAGTCAGGCCCTTAATGTCAGTCAGGCCCTTAAAGTCAGTCAGGCCTTAATGTCAGTCAGGCCTTAATGTCAGTCAGGCCCTTAATGTCAGTCAGGCCCTTAATGTCAGCCAGGCCTTAATGTCAGTCAGGCCTTAATGTCAGTCAGGCCCTTAATGTCAGTCAGGCCTTAATGTCAGTCAGGCCCTTAATGTCAGTCAGGCCTTAATGTCAGTCAGGCCTTAATGTCAGTCAGGCCTTAATGTCAGTCAGGCCTTAATGTCAGTCAGGCCTTAATGTCAGTCAGGCCTTAATGTCAGTCAGGCCTTAATGTCAGTCAGGCCCTTAATGTCAGACAGGCCCTTAATGTCAGTCAGGCCCTTAATGTCAGTCAGGCCCTTAATGTCAGCCAGGCCTTAATGTAACTGAAATTTAGTTCTCAATCATAGAGTGATTCTCAGTGACGTGACTCCTTACAGGCCATCCTGACCCAGCTGCGGACGATCTTCGACCTCATTATACAGTTCCAGGCAGCTCAGGAGAACTTCTACCAGGCCGCCAACTCCGAGATGGATGCCAGGGAACACTTCAAACGTCGTCTCAAGGCCAGAACAGCTGAGGTGAACACCTTGTTGTGTGTTAGGGAGGTAGGGTAGATGAGCGGGTAAAACATTAGATTATTTGGGTAAGTTGTTTGAATGATAAGACAAAGAGTTACTCTCCTTCCCAGTCAAATCTACTTTTGAAGGGTTACTTTTGTAATTCCATGAGAATTTCTTAATATATTCCCGAATTTCTCATTACATTAAAAGGGGATTTCACGTTTAGTTGATTACAAAGGGGTTTCACATTTAGTTGATTACAAAGGGATTTCACATTTAGTTGATTATGAGAGGATTTCACGTTTACTCGATTATGAGGAGATTTCATGTTTAGTTTATTGTAACTTAAGTTAATGTGAATAATGATTTTAGTTTCCACTGCGAACCAAGTGTCTTTATTCAATATTTTAAGTTTTTGGTCATCCATGCTGTAAAGTAGGTAATAAAAACGTGTGTTATCATGCTGTGTCTGCAGGGAGAGTGGGGCGTGACAGAGGCAGAAGAGGAGGAAGAAAAACAGAGACAGAATGACTTCCTGAAGAACATCATCCCGTCCACCCGAGCTCAGCTCATTGTCTTGGCTCAGTCCTATCAGGTGACACAAACAAAATCAATATCCTGACTTGTTATTACTGTTGAGAATTGTATGGATGTCAAGTTCTGGATTATAAGGAACACAATGTTTTGGAGTGTATGCTTACTCCTTCATCAGGTGAATGAATCCTATGGTTTAGAGAGCATATAGACATGTATGTAGATATTAGAACAACAAACATAGGCAAGGGTAAATGAGCAAGGGGGAAATAGCATTGTTTAGGGATAGTAATGGAGAGCTGGAAGCTGATGGGGTTAATAGCTTAGATAGATGGTAACAAAATGGGGAACAAGGATAAATTAAATCAATGCGTCCCAAGAACTAGGCTGGTATGTTCCTGGTCATCATGATTGGTTGGAGGCTCCTGATGTCAACAGGATCTTGTAGCTTCCTTGTTGCCAGGTGCTGTTTGTAGATGACACTCATGTAGCTTCCTTGTTGCCAGGTGTTGTTTGTAGATGACACTCATGTAGCTTCCTTGTTGCCAGGTGTTGTTTGTAGATGACACTCATGTAGCTTCCTTGTTGCCAGGTGTTGTTTGTAGATGACACTCATGTAGCTTCCTTGTTGCCAGGTGTTGTTTGTAGATGACGCTCATGTAGCTTCTTACATGATGCGATGGTCTTGGTTATATGTCAGCGTTCAGATCTTGGCAATTTCTGGATTTAGTTTGTTGACAGATGTCAGACACATTAGCAAGAAACAAGATGTTGTGGGAAGCTACAAAAGTTCTGTCAACCACATCAGATATCTGTTAAGAAACTAGACACTTAGATACTTTGTTGTTATTATTATTCATGTTGTTGTATTTGTTCTTACAAATGTCGTTATTTTATTATTAACAATGTCAACATTGCTATGACCATCTATTTCAGGACATGGTGCAACAGTTCCTGGTCATGTTAACTAGTCATCAGGACGTCAGTCTCCGCTTCCTCAGCTTCAGACTCGACTTCAACGAGCACTACAAAGCCCGGGAACCCAAGCTGAAGTCACCCCTTGCCTACCAGAAGGTGAAGAGAGCCAGATGATCTGACAGTGTGGAAGATGTGATATGACTTGAATGGTTAAACAGTGCACAGGACTATGGGAGATGCATCAGTGTTACCCAGATTGGATTGTGTTGCTGTTACATGTGTGTGATGTGGATCACATACTGCTGTTACATGTGTGTGATGTGGATCACATACAGCTGTGTTACATGTGTGTGATGTGGATCACATACAGCTGTGCTACATGTGTGTGATGTGGATCACATACTGCTGTTACATGTGTGTGATGTGGATCACATACTGCTGTAACATGTGTGTGATGTGGATCACATACAGCTGTGTTACACATGTGTGATGTGGATCACATACAGCTGTGTTACACATGTGTGATGTGGATCACATACAGCTGTGTTACACATGTGTGATGTGGATCACATACAGCTGTGTTACATGTGTGTGATGTGGATCACATACAGCTGTGTTACATGTGTGTGATGTGGATCACATACAGCTGTGTTACATGTGTGTGATGTGGATCACATACAGCTGTGTTACATGTGTGTGATGTGGATCACATACAGCTGTGTTACATGTGTGATGTGGATCACATACTGCTGTTACATGTGTGTGATGTGGATCACATACAGCTGTGTTACATGTGTGATGTGGATCACATACTGCTGTTACATGTGTGTGATGTGGATCACATACAGCTGTGTTACATGTGTGTGATGTGGATCACATACTGCTGTTACATGTGTGTGATGTGGATCACATCCAGCTGTGTTACTTGTGTGTGATGTGGATCACATACAGCTGTGTTACATGTGTGTGATGTGGATCACATCCAGCTGTGTTACATGTGTGATGTGGATCACATACAGCTGTGTTACATGTGTGTGATGTGGATCACATCCAGCTGTGTTACATGTGTGTGATGTGGATCACATACAGCTGTGTTACATGTGTGTGATGTGGATCACATACTGCTGTTACATGTGTGTGATGTGGATCACATACAGCTGTGTTACATGTGTGTGATGTGGATCACATACAGCTGTGTTACATGTGTGTGATGTGGATCACATACTGCTGTTACATGTGTGTGATGTGGATCACATACAGCTGTGTTACATGTGTGTGATGTGGATCACATACTGCTGTTACATGTGTGTGATGTGGATCACATACAGCTGTGTTACATGTGTGTGATGTGGATCACATACAGCTGTGTTACTTGTGTGTGATGTGGATCACATCCAGCTGTGTTACATGTGTGTGATGTGGATCACATCCAGCTGTGTTACTTGTGTGTGATGTGGATCACATCCAGCTGTGTTACATGTGAGTGATGTGGATCACACACAGCTGTGTTACATGTGTGTGATGTGGATCACATACAGCTGTGTTACATGTGTGTGATGTGGATCACATACTGCTGTTACATATGTGTGATGTGGATCACATACAGCTGTGTTACATGTGTGATGTGGATCACATACTGCTGTTACATGTGTTTGATGTGGATCACATACAGCTGTGTTACTTGTATGTGTTTGTGGATCACACACAGCTGTGTTACATGTGTGTGATGTGGATCACATACAGGTTTGTTACATGTGTGTGATGTGGATCACATACAGCTGTGTTACATGTGTGTGATGTGGATCACATACAGCTGTGTTACATGTGTGTGATGTGGATCACATACAGTTGTGTTACATGTGTGTGATGTGGATCACATACAGTTGTGTTACATGTGTGTGATGTGGATCACATACAGCTGTTACATGTGTGTGATGTGGATGACATACAGATGTGTTACTTGTATGTGATGTGGATCACGTACAGCTGTGTTACATGTGTGTGATGTGGATCACATACAGCTGTTTTACATGTGTGTGATGTGGATGACATACAGCTGTGTTACTTGTATGTGATATGGATCACTTAACGTTGTTACATGTGTGTGACCTAAATCGTACATTTGTGAAGTGGTTGTGGGAGGGCCTCAGCTGGTCAGACTATATCCTGTTGCAGAAAGTGAGGACAGTGTCATGATGTTCTTCTCACCAGATATCCTGATTTGCTGAATTGATTATAAAATACAACCTCAAAAAGGAAATGTTCAGATTTTATGTTTTTGAAACTCAAAATTGTGGCATCGTTTCAAACTGCTGTTGCATATATTGAAATGTAATGAGGTCTTTAAAAAAGGTTTGCATTATCCATGAAATCAAGTAAATATTTAATGCAGCATGCGTGGTATTATCATGTATATGTCAGCTTGCCAATAATATATATTTTTTTAAATTTTGCCACTGAGACCAACCGTTTAATTTGAAAAGTATTCAGTTGGTACCAAGATTTACACTTGAAAGGCAAAGTGTCTCTAAGCCAAACTGATCAGTTTTCATCAAGTTCTATATCAGCTTATGTATGATTTAACATTTATGCTACAAACTATGCATTTTGTCAGATTTTAACTTAATGTCTGATGGCATGTCAAATGTCAAGAATTCATCTCTGTGATCAAACTTCAACATCTGTTGCCATGGTAACCACAGCATACATCCAGGTCTTCTAAGGTCACACTTTCATGGTTTTACAAAATATTTTTATCCCCCGCAACGCGTTTTGCGGGGGGTATTAAAATGGACTCCGTCCGTCCGTCCGTCCGTCCGTCCGTCTGTCCGTCTTCAATCCCGTCCGTCCGTCCGTGCACATTTGTCTTTTCCGGAGCAGAACTCTAAAACCGTTCAATATTTCTTCACCAAACTTGGCACATACATGGATCTGGTGGTGTTGTGGTGCCTTTTGGTAGTTTTGGAATTCTGAATAAAATATTTTTGGCGTTTCCATGGCACAAGTTCGATTTAGATTGAAATTGGTGGTAGCTTTTCTTTTCGAGCAGAACTCTAAAACCGTTCAATATGTCTTCACCAAACTTGGCACATAGATAGATCTGGTAGTGTAGTGGTGCCTTTTGGTAGTTTTGGAATTCTGAATAAAATATTTTTGGGGTTTCCATGGCACAAGTTCGACTTAGACTGAAATTGGTGGTAGTGCTCTTTTCCGGAGCAGAACTCTAAAACCGTTCAATATGTCTTCACCAAACTTGGCACATAGATAGATCTGGTGGTGTAGTGGTGCCTTTTGGTAGTTTTGGAATTCTGAATTAAAATATTTTTGGCGTTTCCATGGCAACAAGTTCGACTTAGCCTGAAATTGGTGGTAGTGCTCTTTTCCGGAGCAGAACTCTAAAACCGTTCAATATGTCGTCGCCAAACATGGCACATAGATAGATCTGGTGGTGTAGTGGTGCCTTTTGGTAGTTTTGGAATTCTGAATCAAATATTTTTGGCGTTTCCATGGCAACAAGTTTGACTTAGACTGAAATTGGTGGTTGTGCTCTTTTCCGAAGCAGAACTCTAACACCATTCAATATTTCTTCACCAAACTTGGCACATAGATAGATCTGGTGGTGTACTGGTGCCTTTTGGTAGTTTTGGAATTCTGAATAAAATATTTTTGGCATTTCCATGGCAACAAGTTTGACTTACACTGAAATTGGTGATAGTGCTCCTTTCTGGAGCAGAACTTTTAAACCCTTTCAATACTCTCCTTCCACTTTTCTATGTACACACCTAAATATTTGACATAATCATAACTCGTAGACATAATCATGAAGAGTATTTTGCCATTGCGGGGGATATTGATGACTTTGTCTTCTTGTTATCATTGTTTGTACTTTTTTGATCATCCCAAACTGGCTTCCACAGGAGATATTTTTGGGATCAAACAGTCAACTTGCAGCACAGTGCTTTGCAGGCAATTGCGATGTCATAGGTTACCATGGCATCAATATCAAATGACATCACTTATCACTCTGTTACTGAAGCTGGATTTTACACTCAGTGACACTCCTTATTACTGTTTAGTGTTTACAAACAAAAAGTTTAATTCTTGTGACAAAAAGAATCTCACCCTTATGTTGCTTGGTTTGAAATATATGAACACATGTCAATAGAACTTCTGTTGTTGTTGGTCAGTGACCCGTGAAGATCCGGGATAGAATTGGTCTTCAGTAACCCATGCTTGTCGTAAGAGGCGACTAACGGGATCGGGTGGTCAGGCTCGCTGGCCTGTTTGCATGTCATCAGTTCCCAATTGCGCAGATCGATGCTCATGTATAGCTGGAATATTGCTGAGTGTGACGTAAAACTCACTCAACCACTACTTGGTCAGTTATTTGTTCTCTGTATTCCCTGCACATAACCCCACACAATTACTTCAATATACACACATGTATAATGATAACATACAACATTCATAATTTAGCATGAAAATAAAAATGGTCCTTGTCATTTCCTAAATGGTTAAAAGAACAAAACCTGTTATTTAGGGGTCCGTAGATTCGAAAACCAAATCAGCACAATGCTCACAAAGTGAATTAGCAAACTTGAAAACCTGGAATTGACTTGTCCTCGACATTAACTGGTGCTTATCCCTTTGAAAGAGATAATGGTTGAAACTTTGCTGTAATTTTAGTTTCTACAATTTGATTATTTCATCAATCAAAACAAGCTAATGAAGATAGTATGTCCACAGTTATGGTCAGTCCATATACTAGTAACAGCTTGGAAGAAGCCTTTTCCATGATAAACAGCTTGCAGCTGGGTGCATGGTTTATGACTGCATGGAACCTCGTATGTGAGGGATTAAACAGTCACACTGTAGTGTGGGTGGTTATTAACAGCTGTGCAAGTGTTCTCCAAACCATGGTGACTGTATGTAACCAGGATCATGTGGGGCCTCAGATATGATGTTTTACCCTTTCATTGTGTAGTATGGGTGGTAATCTGCAGACAGCTTTGTGAGTGTTTGCCGAGGTCCTGGAGATTATATAAACCCTCGTATGTGAGGTATCAATCAGTTGCTGTGTAGTGTGGGTGGTGATCTGTAGACCACGGTGGAAGTGTTCATCCTTTTGCCGGAACAGTATCACCTCAGATGTGAGGTATTAATCAGTTGCTGTGTAGTGTGAATGTTGATCTATACACAGCTGTGAGTAAAGCTCCAAGGCCCCTGGGGTTCATAATGCAATGACTTGCAGCCAGGTTTATAGGACAAACTGGAAACACCACCAGCTGTTACAATGAATATCAATCATGTCATTGTGACTACACAGTAGAATCAGGATATATATT